GCAATAAAGCAAAGTGCAATAAAATGAGGTATGCCTATATATATAGGTATATATATATATATATACACACATATAAATAGCTTTTCAGTCTATTTAGAATTCCTATTTTACTACTTTAAGTGGAATTTTAAAATCTTAACACCTTATAAGTTCTTTGGCTCTACCCCATCTGTTGTAGTTGCTATATGTAATACATCTACACCTATTGAAAATTCCATCAGACAGCATTACATACATGTGTGTATAGATGATTTTATTTATTTATTTATTTATTTATTTTTAGAAACTGGGGAAGGGAGGAAGAAAGAGATGGAGAGAAACATAGATGGCTTGCCTCTTGTACACACCCTGACCTGTGACTGAACCTGCAAAGCAGGCATGATGCTCTGACCACAATCAGTGAGGGGTCTTTTGCTTCAAAGGACAGCACCCAGCCAGCTGAGCCACAGCAGTCAGGGCCAGTGCTACATTTTTTGCTTTTTGCTATTATATATGTTTTTTAAAACTTTAGAGGATAAAAATATTTACCTAGGTATTAACCGTTTTTATTGCTCTTTCTTAATTCTAGACATTTTTGATGTGAAATCCACAATCATTCTGTTTGTTCTGTCCCTATATAAGGTATATGGTTTTTATCCATCTGTTTTCAAGATATTTTCTTTGCGTTTAGTTTTCAGCAGTTTGGTCATTTTAAGTTTGGGAATAGGTTTTTTTGAGTTTTCCGTGTTTGGAGATGGCTGAACTTCTTAAGCCTGTAAATTTATGTCTTTTGCCAACTTTTGGAAGTTTTTAAGAATTATTTCTTTCAATATTTTATCTGCATCACATATATTTTCTTTCTTCTTTCCTTTTGAAACTCTGATGACATGAGTGTTAGACCTTTAGGTTTTTTTCCCACAGGTTCTTGAAACTGTTCAATTTTCCTTCTCTTTGTCGTTCATATTTGATACTTTCCATCTATCTCTCTTCAAATTCAGTGACTTTCCATTTGCATCTCCATTCTGCTCTTAAGTCCATCTTGTGAAAAAAATTTTTTGTAACTGTATTTTTCAATTCTAAAAAATACATTTGGTCCTTTTTATATTTTTTTCTTTCTATTCATTTTAAGAGTCTTCACTTCTCCTTGGATTATAATTATAACAGATGTTTTTCTTTCAATTGTGTTAAAAAAACCCAGATTACATAAAATTTACCATCTTAACCATTTTAAAGTGTTAGTAGTGTTAATTATGTTTATATTGTTGTGTAACATATCTTTAGAGATTTTTCATCTCTTTTTAAATTGATTTTAGAGAGAGAGGAAGGGGGTGAGAGAGAGAGAGAGAGAGAGAGAGAGAGAGAGAGAGAGAGAGAGAGAGAGGGAAACATCTATTTGTTTATCCTCTTATGAACCCACAACCTCGGCATATGGCATGACCATCTAACCAGCTGAGCTACCTGGCCAGGGCAGAAACTCTTTATCTTATGAAACCGAAACTCTATAACTATTGAACAATAACTTCCCATTTCTCCCTCCTTTCAGTCCTTGGCAAATACAATTCTACTTTCTCTTTCTATGATTTTTACTACTATAGATACCTCATATAAGTACAATGAGACAGTATATTTTTTTTATGACTGGCTTATTTCACTTAGTATAACGTTCTGCATGTTCATTCTTGTTATTCCATGTGACAAGAGTTCTTACTTTTTAAGGCTGAAATATACTTCAGAAGGAAATGAGCTATCAAGCCATGAAAAGACATGCAGGGACCTTAAATACACATTTCTAATGGAAAGAGGCCACCTGAACAGGCTACCTACTGCAGACTCCCAGTTGTATGACATTCAGAAAAAGAACTGTGGAGACAGAAAAGAGATCAGTGGTTTCAGGGATTCAGAGGGGGAATGATAAATGGGCAGAACACAGAGGATATTTAGGGCGTTTCAGGTTTCTTGCTGCCTTTCAGTCTGGGCTGGGAGATAGTGTGGGGGTGGAATTTGGGAGGCTCACTCTTGATTTGGTGATTGACTTCCACTTTCCTTCCTCAATAATCCTGCCACCTTTTACTTTCCAGAATTCCTCACGTATGTGTTCCATACGTTCTGCCTAGGCTTTACATTGTATTTACTGAGAGAAATGGGATGGAATGTGTTTTCTCCATTTTGACAGGTATTAGAATCTTCTGTTTTTCTTTTTATTACTGGATATTATATATATTTTGGGGTTTAAGTAAATTGTCAGATATATGTATTGTGAATGTTTTTCTCTCAGTCTGTAGTTTGCCTATTTAATTTCTTAACTGTGTTTTTTGATGAGGAGACACACCTTTTATTTTAATGAGGTCTATGTTAAACTTTTTCTTCCAACTAATGCTCTCTGGGTTTTATGTATAAAATCTTTGTCTATTCCAAGTCTGCAAAGATATTCTCCAATGTTCACTTTTTCCTGTTTTATTAAGATATAATTGACCTATAACATTGTAGTAGTTGAAGGTGTACAACATAATGATTTGATATATGTACCATATTGGGAAATCATTAACAGTTAGTTTAGTTATTCATCACCTCACATAGTCACATATTTTTTTCTTGTAATGAGAACTTTTAAGATCTACTTTCTTAGAAACTTCCAAACACACAATACACAATGTCTATGTTGTTAACTATAGACATCCTTGTTTTCTTTTACAAGATTTATTATCTTAGCTCTGATCCATTTTGACTTAATTTTACTTATGGTGTAAGGTAGGAATTAAGGTTCATCTTTCCCCCATGTATTTATCTGGTTGTTACTGTAGTATGCATTGGATTCACTCATACACATTAGAAAATAAACTCGAACTTTTCTATATTTTAAATGTATTCCCTAATTACTTAATGCTTTACATTAAAATTAAAAACAAATCACACAATTGTTAGATATATTAATTGTATTTCAACCTAATTGATTTCTTTTGTCATTGTGAACATTTTATGTCCTTCAAATTGTTATTGTGAGAATGAGCCCATGAACTTTATAAGATTACCAAAGGTGTCCAAGGCACAACACACGTGAAAACCCCTGCTGATGTTTCCACATGTGGAAAAACACTCAGCTTCAGAACCAAAGAGACCTGGTTTTAAATGCTCATTTGCTGCTTTCTAGGTCTGACCTCGGGCACATCATTCAATCTTCATTCATATTCCACACTTCCACAGATTCAGCAAATGTCTATCGAGCACCCACTACCAGCCACTCTACTAAACATCTAACACAGACACACAGACATAACCTTTCCTCTACCCAGTTTACAGCTGAGTTGGGGAGGCAGATGAGTCAATGGGTGGTAAATGGTTTGATGGAGAAGTGATGGTGTGCTCAGTGGAGGGGTCAGGAAAGACTTCCAGATATACTGACCTAAACTGCTAAGCATACATTGGCCAAGCAAAGAGGGGTTGGAGTGACCCAGGCAGTGGAATGAACCCTTAATAGATATGGCATGGTTGAGAAACAGAGAAAACCAGGTTAGGGAGAAGGAAGGGACAAGGTAGCATAAGGGGTCAGACTAGAGGTTTTTGTAGCCATCTTAAGGACATTAGCTTCATCCTAAGAGAAATGGGAAGCCATTGATGGGTTTTAATCATTGACAGATTGTGGCAGGATTTGAATAAAAAATTTTGAAATCATGTTGGTTTTATGGAGAATAAACTAAAGCACAGATTTTCAACCATTTTTATTTCATGGCACACATAAACTAATTACTAAAATTCTTTGGCACACCAAAAATATATTTTTTGCTGATCTGACAAAAATTAGGTAATTTCGATTCATTCACACCAAGATGGCTATTGTTGTGTTGCTGTTGTCATGCCTTTTAAAAAAAGATTTTATTTATTTATTTTTAGAGAAAGGGTGAGAGAAAGAGAGGGAGAGAAACATCAATGTGTAGTTGCTTCTCACACTCTCCCAGCTGGGGACCTGGCCTGCATCCCAGGCATGTGCCCTGACTGGGAATTGAACTGGCAAACCTTTGTTTGCAGGCCGGCGCTCAATCCACTGAGCCACACCAGCTAGGGTGTTATCATGCTTTTATTTGACACTCCAAGAGAAAAAAAGTCAATGCCCCTGACTAAACAGTCAGGTATTGCCATGTTTTAAAAATTCTTGCAACACATTGGTTGAAAATCACTGCGCTAGAGGGATCGTGACTAGAGACAGTCACAATGACTTGAAAATTATTGGACAAATCCAAGTGAGAGAGGGTAGTGGCAATGGGGTGGGAGAAGAACGGAGAGATTTGAGTAGTTAGGAGATAAACTCAATTAAGTGGATGTTGGAGACTCTGGAAAATGAGGGAGATGGAACCTCCTCAGATTTCTGCTTGGACCAACAGAATGAATGATGGTGCCATTGACTGGAAAAAGAGTAGGCCTATGGGAGAACACAGGGTCAGATTTGCATTTTGGGTGTGAGGACTGAAGATGTTTTGCAGACTCATGGCCATATTGGCCTGAAAATTGGAAGAGAGGTTTGGGATGGGAAGCCATCTATGTCCATATGGTAAGTTGCCAAAGATAGTATTCCTTCTATTCTTCTGACATTCCGTTCAACCTCTATTGAGGATGTAGTACGTGGTGGGTGCTGGGGTACATCAGTCAACATGAAGACGGGGTACATCAATCAGTTTACCGGCTACCTCTTTAAACTTGTTATTAATCTGTAAAATGAATACAATGAGACTGAGTGAGATGAGGTGAGGTAACGGCACTTGGCTCTTAAATTTTTATCTTTCGTCCTCACCGACAGAAGAGAAGATACTATGTTACTTTTGCTTTTGAATCCTTTGCCGGCTGGCTCTTCTGCGCAAGCGCCCTGGATCGCCCGGGTTGGGGGCGGGGCGGGCCCCAACCCTAGAGGTCTTCCCTGGGGGCCAGGACCCTGACGGGCGATGGGAGCGGCTGCCTCGTGACGTCATCAAGCTGCGCTTCCCGTAGGGCGGGACCAGAGTGCGACAGCACGGCCGGCGCCCCAGGACTGGCTTGGGAAACGAAAGTGAGGGAGGAGCCGGCGCTCTGGCAGCAGCAGGGCCGGGCCCGGTGGCGGCGGCGGCATTGGTGGCCTGACCACCCCCCCTCTCCGCTCCCTGGCAGCTTGCCCTCTCCCCTCAGTGTGAGTGCCGACGCGCGGCCCCGGGGGGAGCGAGCGGGCGGGCTCGCGGGCTCAGCATCCTCCTCTCCACCGCCGCCTCGCCCCCCCAATCCGCGCGCGGTCTTGACCCTCACCGCCTCCTCGCTCTCTTTTCCTCCTCCCTTCCCCCCCACCCCTACCCCGCTCCTCCAGCTCCCGGGAGCCAGAGCTGCCACTGACTTCGTCTCTGCGCACACATTCACACACTCACGTTGTCTTCAAATGAGAAGACTGGTCTGGGGAGATAGATGGGAGCTCATTTCTCCCCTCTATGGATAGGGGTGGCAGTGCGAAACGGAGGCCCAGGGAGAGAAGACTGGAGAGGGCATTATGAAGCCCTTCCCTGAGGAAGCAGCAGTTAGAACCATGCCTTCTGCCTAGAAGTTCCCTGCCAGAACACATTTGGGGCTGTGTAGGTCACTTGAGTTGGGCACTAGTTACCTGTAAGGCCTTACCCTCTCGGGCTTCAGTTTTTTTCCAGTGGAAAAATGAGAGGGTTGGATTAGATGATTTGGAATGTTCTAATCTAAGGTGGTTTGGAGAGGAGAGTGCCAGCATCTCCTCCCTTTCACACAACTATCTCCTCGCCTTTCCTTGCACCCACCCAACACTGTCCACATTGAGTTTCTCCTGCTTCCAGCCTCCCCCAGAGTCTAGCTAAGAACCACAGGGGCCTTTTTGCTTTTGTTAGGGACCTTTCTTGGGGGGCGGGGGGATTTAAGATGAATTTAAAGTTAAATGTGGCTCAGCGTGGTCTTGCTTTCTGTTTGTTAAGTGTCTTCCGTTCTTCCTGCAGCCTCAGGATAGCCCCTGCCTGTGTCTCATTCGAGGCTACCTCTTCAGGAAGGATGAGATTGAGCATTGGGTTGACTGTCTCATCTTTGAGCTGGAGGGAAGTGAAACATGTGATTCAGGGTTTTGTGAGGTTTAGGGAGTCAGTGGTATATTTGGATTTTGTTGCTCTTTTGATGCTATTACTCTACTACATAAAATAAGCATGTTCTTTTGCCCCTGCACCAACCCCTTCCCCAAGGATTGCAGCCCTGCCAGTCACCCATCTGTTTGCTGTTTTGAGTCTTACAGCCAATCAGTTGTGTATAAACCACACTTATTCACTACTACTCTTGCTTGCTCTTTAACTTGATAATCTCTTAAAATTTCCGGGTCTTCATAATCTCTTTGTTCCATCCCATTTTTTTTTCCTCATGCACACTTCTCATGTACCTACCGGTGGAAATGGATGGTGGTGGCATGGTGCCTGCCTGTTTTTATTTTTTATTTTTTTGGTGGAGGTGGTTTCCTGTTATAATCACTGCTTTTGTACTTGAGTCCTATACTATGGCCACCTCCAGTTCTGAAAACATTCCCACCCTTATTTCCTCAGTCTTAAGTCAACCACTGCTTCCATTCCTTACTCTGGTGAAGAACTTTCCCACTATTTTTACGTTTTCAAACATCCTGAAGTAAACCAAAAGCCAGTGTTTGTATCATATTATGTAATAAGTTAATTATCTTGGTAAAATGATAACAGTGATGGAACAATCATTCTGGGGTGGTCCCCTTCACCTTGGAAACATTGGTTAACATTCATTAGGTTTCATAAGAAATTTCCAGTGTACATGGTTGTTACATGTGGGCTGTGTTGCACTAAAAGTATAGAATGACAAGTTTCCAAGGCTTTCCCCCCCTGTGGTGTGTGGAGTTGATTCATGACTTTTTGGTATCTGACCCCAGTGGCCCAGAGGCCTTTGAGTCTGTGAGTACCACATTTGCCAGTGAAACTAATAGCTATTTTTGAAAACCAGAGCTTGGCTAGCAGTCCTTGAATTTCTAAAACTGAATTTCTTTGAGGAAGAGGCTATTTAAGTGTTGGCACTGAAAGTTTTTGGAGTTGCCAAGTCCCATCCCATTTGTGGTTTATACTTTAGAATTCCTGCTCTGATCCTAGTGACTCTGACATGAGCAGCCCACTGTCTGGATTTATGGTTGCAGTAACAATGAAGAGGAGAAATGACCCAGAATGCACTGCCCCTATCAAGAAACAGAAGAAAAGAGTTGCAGAGCTTGCCCTGAACCTCAGCTCTACGTCTGATGATGAACCGCCCTCCTCTGTCAATCATGCAGCAAAAGGTATGCTTGTCTGTGTGGTCTGAGGCCACTGGTCACCTGGTTATTTGAATCCCTGGAGCTTGAATTGGGCAGCATACAGTCCACTGCTCCTTGAGGAAAATTAGGCAAATTCTGCAGAGATATGTTGGCTGTAGACTCTCTTCCCTCTCTTGCCAGTTCTCCTAATAGGATGGGGGACTTGTCTTAAATAAAAATTGGAATTTTTACAGAAATGTGTTAGTTTTGTTGCTGGTCCTTCAGTAGGTGGCACTCTTTTGCTGCCATAAACCAGGTGGAAGTTCAGGTATACCTTGGAGATACTGTAGGCTTGGTTCCAGACTACCGCAATAACGTGAATTGTAATCATTTTGCTGATGGAGGGTCTTGCCTTCAATTTGTACAAACCACAACATCTGTAAAGTGCAGTAAAATGGGGTATGTCTGTAGTGGGGAGCATCAAGTGTCCTGTGCTCTTAGTAGTTGTTAATGATCCTGAGGCTCTCTACTGCAGTGATCTGGCCTAATTCCCCTTAGGTTTTTACATTGTTTTCTCGATTCCCTCAGCAGGAATTAGAACATCCCTGTATTCGCTGTTTACATTAAACTCAAAGGATTTTGCTGATCTGATTGAAAGTAGCATTTTGCTTTGCCTCTTTTTTAGCGTTATGGACATTCACAGCTTCCACAGATGCTCTCAGTGAGAAATTGTAGAGTGTCTAGGAGCTTGCCCCAAGTACCAAACAATTAATAGTAGTCCCATTTGCATTTACCTTGACTTATTAGTTGTATTAATTTCCTATGACTGCTGTAACAAATTACAGACTGGGTGGCTTAAAACAACAGCAGTTCATTCTTCATAATCCTGGAGGCCAGAAATCTGAAATCAAGGTGTCAGCAGGGCCAAACTTCCTCCTAAGGCTCTTGGGAAGGATGCTTTTTTCCCTCCTCTAGCTTCTGGTGGTTGGCAGCAGTGCTTGCTATTCCTTGGCATATAGCAGCATAACTCCAGTCTCTGCCTCTGTGTGTGCCTGTGTTCAAATTTCCCTCTTCCTATAAGGACATCAGTCATTGGATTAGGGCCCACTCTAATACAGCATTGCCTCATTTAATTTGATTACATCTGCAAAGATCCTATTTCACATTCCCAGGTGTGAGGTGACATGATCTTTTGGGAGATACTCTTTAACCAGCTGTCATGCATTTTGGATCATCTGCTGGATCACTGGTAAATTGGAATGAAATTTAGTAACAGATTGGTAACTGTAAGGGTGTGAAGCATCCTTTGAGGGTGTCAGAAAATACAGTTTATTCCTGAGTGGTGGGCTGATTGAAGGGCAGTTACTCTTTAGCTGTACTGAGAAGCTGGTCCAGAGAGGAGAAGCTTGACAGGTGTTACAGCTAGTGAAGCATTTGATGTGGCTGTGGTCCTGGCTGGATAAGAGACTCTTTATCAACTTGCTTTTGGGGATATGTGTGCCTTGAAAGTTGTCACGGGTAAATTTCAGGGTAGGAGAGGAGAGCTTTATGTAACCGAGGTTACTAAACGGGAAGGTAAAAAACATACTGGGTGCACTCGTTCGAGGGACTATTGAGGAAGGGAGTTTTGGTTCTCACCCAGGATTTGAGCAGCTTGGTGAAGGTAGAGGGTTTCCTTGGGTAGGGCTCTGGGGTTTTAGGAGAGAGAGACCCAGAAGGGAAAAAGGGAGAGCATGTGTGGGGGAATCAGTGACACTTAGCTGGTGGCAGTATCTAGTTCCAAGCAGATCTTGGGGAACATTTGCTCTCAAGTAACAGCTCTTTGAAGTAAGGAGAGGACCACTTCCAGGTAGAGGAAGGTAAGTGTATATGGTTAAGGATCTTTCAAGGGAACAAGTCTGATTTAAATTTCAAGGTTTCAAAACCGTGACTTTGAATTGAGATTATCTCCCTCCCCCCATAAACTCCCTTTGATTGTACCAAATAGCTTTAACCTTTTCTGTAAGTAGTACCTTATGACTCAGGATTGACTCTTGCTGTTGTGTGTACAGAATGGGAATCTGGAGGTGGCCAGTACCTTGTATGCTTCTGGCAATAGACCCTTGGTCCCTTTCATTTGCGGAAAATGAGGCAGGAGGCAGAGGTTAGCAAACATTGCTCGACTTCCGACTTCTGTGGGTCAACTTACTTTAGTAAGGGTCAGTGCCACATTGACACACAAACTCTGAGGCCTAGAGTCTAATGTCTTCATCAGCAAGATTGCGCCCTGTGCCTGCCCTGCCCCTCCACACTATGCCCAGCATGGAGGAGTAAATGTTAAGTAAATATTTGCTGAATAAAATTGAAGGCAACAGTAGTATCTTTTCCAAGAAGCTTACAATGCTTCTCCACTTTCATTTTGCCTATCTCTCTTTGAATCTACAGAAGGTCATTTCATTAAGTATTTGTAGTTATTTATGTTATTGCTGTTCTGTATTGGCTCCTCTAAGGCATTCCCTGGACAGTGTGCCCTGGCAGTGTGCTGTGTCGTAGACACCGTTGTGCATTCCCATTCTAGTCACAACTCTCAAGTACGTGTGTTCCCTTTGTTCCAGCCACTTCTGCCTGGACGTACTGTTCAAAAGGATGATTGGAAAATGCACTTTGGGGAGTACAATTAGCAAAACAAAAAAAGCAGTGGTTACTATTTCTGTCTGTCTGGGCCTTGTTTGTACTTCTTCTGCCAGATCAATGTGATGACTCATTAATAGATCTATTTAGTTTAATCAATTTGTTTATTTTACATTATTGACAAGGTAGCTGTATTGCCAGGTTAGAAATTGACATCTGACTGAAGTAAAGAAGAAAAAGGGACTTTATTTTTATAGCCACTGTAGCATCATGTGATTTTTTTAAAAAATTATTTTAAGAGGAGTTTGAAAGCATTTTCAAGCCCAAATAAACCCTTGAAAATTTGCTATTAAATAACAATGTTTTAGAGTAAGGGGAGACAGATAGAGGTCATTTTCATCTTGTTCTTTTTGGTTCTTTCTCACAGGGAAACTATGATACAGACCAAGACAATTTCCTTTTCTCCTTAGCTGTGCATCCAGTCTGGGCTTCATTCAGGCCTCCGAAGCGTGTTGCTTTGGAAGTTGCCAGGGTCCTTCACTGGCACCACACTAAAGGTGCCTTCCCTCTACCAGGTTTAATTCTTCCCTAAGTAGGTTATTTTCCCTGAAACACCATTGCTTTCCTGTCAGTCCAGATTCATGACCTTAATCAAAAACTTCCTTTATCGGTATCTGTTTAAATCGCTCTAACGAGTCACCATTTGTCTGCCATGACAGAGAAATTGAGTCTTTAAACAGGAGTGAGTGCATTCCACAGCAATTGTTAGGCATGATAGGATGTTTATTAAAGTCCATAGTTTATTCTTCTGCATCTTTGTGCTGTTCACCTTGGCCACTAGTGGTCGAGTCTGCCCCTCCCTGTGTGTTGTCACTGTCGTTTCTAATCTTGGCGTGTTTGCCCTGCTGTTCTCCTGCAATGTGGAAAAAATTGCCAGCAGCTGGGAAACCTCTGATTCTTCTATAAAGCTAACCTTTCTTCTTTAAAATGACTCAAGAGTAAGGGCCTCTTTCAGGTAGAGAGGAAATCTTCAGTGAAAACTCTAAATAATGTTTTGGGTTCTCTAGTAGGTTTTAGAAGGGGAGTTCCTAGAGAGGTAAATGGGAATGCCACCCAGCCTTGGCAAGTTCTTAATGAAACCAATGATTTTAATAGACTGACCTTATTACTCCCCTTAATTTATATGCTCATTACAAGAGTGTCTGTTCAATGTTTGCTGCAGTTTTATCAGCCTTGGGAGGCTAAACCTCCTCTTCAGTTTCTGCTGCAGCCACAACAGTTGTCTCCTTTTTATCTGAAAAGAGTGGCCCCATAGGTCCAGGGATAAAAATGAGGAGTGGTTGTGATAGTCTGGGAAACTTTGTCTTAAATCATGTCAGGCTAAGAATTGTCTTCAGAATACCACATAAAATAAAAGAGAAATAAGGATTATCTGTTTATCCATTACACTTCTTGATCTTACAAAGAAATGTCTAGTAGGGTGGTATTTTAGCTTCCATCAGCCTCACTCTCAGGACCTGAACAGGTCAGCTGTACATTAGGTGACACCTGGGCAAGAGGAATGGAGGTGAAAGATTTTTTTTTTAAATAAGTGCAGGGATTTTATCTATCTATCTATCTATTTATTTTTAGAGAGGGAAGGCAGGGAGAGAGAGAGAGAGAGAGAGAGAGAGAGGGAGAAAGAAACATCAATGTGCAGTTGCTGGGGGTTATGGCCTGCAACCCAGGCATGTACCCTGGCTGGGAATCGAACCTGCGATACTTTGGTTCGCAGCCCGCATTCAATCCACTGAGCTATGCCAGCCAGGGCTGAGGTGAAAGATCTTTGTACCCAAGTCTGGTGTTGGAATTTTGCACCAGTGTTGTTATTGATTTGCCTTATGAATCTTCCACCCAAATGTGATTCTTTCTGTTACTTTGGTCCAAAAATGTTATGAGGACAAAGAAAACAAACAATCTCTCTCTCTCTGAGATTTGTGGGTGGCAGAAACCCTCCATGCTCAGGAATGATATTCATACCTTTGATGGATGCCCATTAATGGGTCTGCAAGCAAACCTAACATCCTGGCAAGTTGCTAGAGCTGGACCAAGTGCACGTTCTTCTTTGAGGACACAAGGTTTTCCTAACCTTTTCATAGATAGACCTATGAGTCCCCAGATAGCTGGTGAGAGGAATAATGATTGATTTAACATTGTAGCTTCTGGTTAGTCAGGACCCTGGATCCCTGGGCTGCCCTGAAGGAAACTGCCCACATTCCTGGCACCACCTCTTTCTGCACTAAGCAGTACCAGTTGAAGGCGTGGAAACAACTGAGTGAAGAGAACCTGCACCTTTGGAAGGGTGGTTCTTTGGCGTGTGGGCACTCTTTCAGAGCATATCTCGCCCCTCCTCATGGGAGATAAGACTAAGCCCATACTTGTCTTCAGCCATTCAGGAGGTCTTTTCCCTCAGATCGGCTGTCCTCTGAACATTTCTCTGGAAAGGAACCAAACTCTTCCCAAGGGTTGGAATGGTACTTTTTCAATAGCTTTGTAATTTTTACCCTAATTTTCAAATGAATATATTCTTATTTCTCCCATAGAAAAGCAGAAAAGTGTGAAACAAAATAAATATCACTTCACTTCTCAGTTTCCATGGTTACTCATTGTTAATTTTCTGGGTCTTCCCTTCTGAGTGGCACTCGGGCACTCTGTGATATGTGCTGCATTGGTCAGGTAAACAAGTCGGCTTCTTATTGGGGGAACTAGGTAGCCACCTTAAGGGGGAGGGGTGAATTTGGGGCTTCTTGTGCACAGATATTCCCAACCAGAATTTCTCCTTCTTAACTGCTTAGGAGCCAAGATTTTGGTTTTTACATTTATTTTGATTTTTTCACACATATTCATACCTGCCTTTTCTTTTGCAAAATATTGTATCTTTTAACAATTCTTCTGTATTTTTTATCTTAGCAATTAGATTTTTAAGCTCTTTTAGGGTAGGATTGTTACTTTTGGATAGTACCTCATTATATATAGCATAGACCTTTTATAGAACAGGTCCTGAACCAAAGTTGTCAGATCTATTAAACAATATCAATAATAAATAATACAGTCTAATTAGGACCCAGTTCTCTTTCAGGATATAGGTATTCCATCCTCATGCTTAAATTTTTGGTTGGTGTTTTACCTTTAAAAGTATTTTTAAACACTTCATCTCTTTTTAGAGCAGTTTAAGGTTCACAGCAAAATTGAGAGGAAAGTACAAAGGTATCTCCTATACCCCTTGCTCCTACCCATGCATGTCCCTCCTCCATTATCAACATACTTCACCAGAGTGGAGCGTTTGTTGCAGTTGATGAACCTGCATTGACACGTCACTCTCATCTAGAGCACATAGTTTACATTAGGGTTCCTTCCCTCTTGGTGTTGTGTACTCTGGGTTTGAACGAATGTAATCATACATGTCCTTATACTTACGAGGGTGGAATGTCTTGCACTACTTGTATGAGGAAATAAGGAGCTGCACATTTAGTAGGTGCTCATTAGCAAAGGTGGCAACTGGATAAGAGTCCCTTACATTCACTACAGTGAGAGTGTAATTTCTCTTAAGTAGCAAGCCTCAGTCCAGCTGTGGGAGACGGAAGGTCGTCTGGTTTTCAGGACTGGCTCTCAGTGCTGTGCTGATGGTGTGAATACTGATGTTGTGCTGGAGCCCAGTGGAAGGGAGAATCAGGCCTGGGGTGCTGGGGAAGGCTTTGCTCCTCTCGAACGTCAACCCTTTGCAAGTTTGTGTTCTAGTAGGGAAACGGATGGATCAACACACAGGAGTTAGGGTGACATGCTCATGGGTATAGTCTTACTCTTCTAGTCATTTGACAGTGTGTCTGGGTGATCTGTTCCTTCCAGTACACAGAAAGAGGCTCTAAATTTGCTTGGGTCTTGGGCCCTTAGTGCCACCCTAACTTTTTTCACCATGCCCCTAGGCCCAAAGAAATACCTCACAGTTCAGTTTATTAAGTACTTAAGTCTAAATATTAAGCACTTATATCCTTAAAACTAATAGATGTTTAAAGAACAATACACATAAATTGAAAAAAATTATTTTAAGCACAATAACTTATTAATGAGATAGTACACATATCTCATTGGGATCAGGTTGGACATCACCACCCTCATTTCCTGTTCTGCATTCTTCCTTGCTTGCAATTTATGCTATTTTCAATGGGAATGTGTGTAAATTTAAGCAAATTTTTTGAGATGTAGTCTATTTACAAATCGGGGTGGGTTTGTCCAAGAAATTATCTGAGTAAAATTACTTTGGGTTGAAATAGATTTCAAGTTAATAGGTGCATATATCTATAAAAGAGAGGGAAACAGTCAGTCATAATAAATGTCTAGACTGGATCATCCGCTTTTGGCCAGGAGACACGTAACCCACCCCTTCTGGCAGCTGCTAGGTAGGTCTTGTTTGGGGTCCTTTGGCAACAAGGTTGTTGGCAGTGAAGTTAATGGCAGAGCTCACTCAGGCCACCAGCAGCTCCTCTGTTCTCAGCCTCAGTTGGTGCTGCTGCCTGAGCATCTCCTTCTTCCCTGTCCTTCATCTCTTTCTTCCTCTTCCTTCTCTTTTTCCTTCCTTCTTTGTTCCCCTCCCCCTTCCCTTCTCCCCGCTCTTTCCCCTGTCCTCCCTTGTGAGCCAGCTGTTCTCCAGGACTGCGCTGCAGACCCGCCCTCTCACCTCGGCATTTGAAGGACCATGAGAACAAAGGAACCCAGGAGATTAAACAGTCAGAAACTGTTAGTCTGACAATTATATCCTCAATAAAGACATTTTATATTTAGCAGTTTCCTTTAAATATGTTATTTCATTTCATTTTCAAACAATCCTGTGAGGAACATATTACCATTGTAGTTTGGAGGAGAAGAAATTGAAGGATAAGAATGGAAAATTGATATTTATAAGTCCCAGTTGTATGTCAGATATCATTAGAAACTTTTAGTGACTTGACTAAGATTGCACAGCTAGTAAGAGGGAGAGAATACGTTTGCCCCTGTCATTTAATGAACTTTACGTGAGCAATGCATATGCTAAACACTAGTTGAATAAATGAAATTGGGCTTCTAGAGGCTATCTTGTGCTGTAAATACCTAAATATTTTCTTTTCTAGTATCTACCACAAGCCTCAGTGGGTCTGACAGTGACACCGAGGGGAAGCAGCGCAGCTCTGACTCTTTTAATGATGCATTCAAAGCAGACTCTCTCGTGGAGGGAACTTCTTCTCGCTATTCCATGTACAACAGCGTCTCCCGTAAGCTTATGGTATGTCCATGCTTGGGTTGGGTTTCCTAAGCTCCACCAGCACAGGGAGGAAAGCAGAAATGCTACCACGTGAGTTTTTCTTTTGCTTTTCAGCTGCTGAAATTTAGCAGAGTGTGGCCACCTCTTCATAGAGGTGTCAGTCACATTGAAGTCATCTGTGGGCAGTGGCTGCTTAGGCCTGCTTTTCTTGCCCCATTCAGAGCTGTATCACCCTTTGGTCTTCTGATTAATGAATTCTTGTTGTGAGCATGTGTGAACATACTTCTCTACACATGGATGTGTATCGATGGGTAAAGAGGCTTCATGTGGTGAATTTTTGTTCTAGTGAATGATCTCAAAAGAAATGAATAAAATCCTGCTCACTCCCAGGTGCCTAAAGTAGATGGGAGTAGTATAGTCTTCTGTACTGCTTCCAAAAGAAGGCCCAGTTCTCTTTCCCAGCGTCTGTACACCACTGATATACCACAGAAGGAAGACGACCAGGGAGAGCTGCCCGGTTTCCTCATCAAACTTGGGTGTATGTACAAAGGTTGGAGAAATCCAGGTTTGCTTTCTGTCTGGCTTCAGGAATATTACACTCTTCCATTTTCTGTTGGATCTATTTAAGAATGAGAACTGCCAATTCTGAAGTCATAGTAGGGATTGTAGTTTGGGTGCTGTAAACTTTGGGGAAGTGGAAGATGGGGAGAGTCATGACAGCCTCTGACCTGGGGAAAGATTTGTTGCTACTATAGGAACTCCATCTGGCTCTTAAACTGGTAGTGCCCCTTCCAGAGGCGATACAGAGACCCTCTAGGGGAAATCAGATCTTAGGATTGAAGTTCCTTTATTAGACAAAGACCTATAGGGTTTGGGATTCAGGTCTCTGATTTCAAGGGTATAAAAGTAGGCCTAGTGACTCTAGAGTTCAGTGTGAGCTTATAGACAGTTGTGACATTTTAAAAAATGATTCTGGGGGACTTCTGGCCAAGATGGAGGCATAGGTGGACACACTGTGCCTCCTCCCACAACCAAGATAGGGACAACAATTTAGAAACAGAATAACAACCAGAACTGACAGAAAATTGAACTGAATGGAAGTCGGACAACCAAGAAGTTAAAATAGACCTGTTCATCCAGACCGGTAGGAGGGGCGGAGTCAGGGTAGATGGGCGTGGGTTGAGGCACAGAGAGCAGAAAGTGTTGGGACTAGGCGCGTAAGGCATCTGAGGAGCGCAAGACTACAGTGGGTGTACCCTGAGCTCGCAAGCGGCAGCTGGCAGACCCCAGCTGAGGGGTGGCAACCGGCAGACCCAGCGAGGCGGCGATTGTGAAGCAAGGCACTGTGCGCGTAACCCAGGATCACAGTTCTGGGAAATAGAGCCTCGGGACACTGACTGAAAACCCCTGTGGGGGTTGAGGCACAGGAAAAAACTCCCAGCCTCAACAGGAGAGGTCCTTGGAAAGTCCCATGGGGTGCATGACCCACCCACATGGGAATTGGCACCAGAGGGGCCCAGTTTGCTTGGGGGAAGCGGCGGAAGGGACTGAGGTCCAATGGAGAGTGGAGCTAGCGCCGTTGTTCCCCCTCGAACCCCACCCCTGCCTCACAGCCTCACAACCCAGCGACTGGAGTGCCCCACCCTGGTGAACACGGCTCTGCCCCTCATATATAACAGGTGCAACAACACCAAAGGGGGGGGAAGATAGCTCAAACAGAATTGAAAGCCCGGCAACCAGTGCTTTTAAGTGACTGAGAGATAGCCAGCCTATCAGATACACAGTTCAAAGCACTGGTCATCAGGATGCTCACAGAGTTGGTTGATTTTGGTCGCAAATTAGATGAAAAAATGAAGGCTATAATAAGTGAAATGAAGAAAAATGCACAGGGAACTAATAGTGATGGAATGAAAGCTGGGTCTCATATCAGTGGAGTGGACCAGAAGGAAGAAAGAAACATACAACCAGAAAAGAATGAAGAAATAAGAATTCAAAAAAATGAGGAGAGGCTTAGGAACCTCCAGGACATCTTTAAACATTCCAACATCCAAATTATAGGGATACCAGAAGGAGAAGAGGAAGAGCAACAAGTGGAAAAGTTTTCTGAACAAATAATAAAGGAGAACTTCCCCGTTCTGGCAAAGGAAATAGACTTCCAGGAAGTCCAGGAAGCTCAGAGAGTCAGTCCCAAACAAGTTGGACCCAAGAAGGAACACAGCAAGGCACATCATAATTACACTAGCCAAGGTGAAAATGAAGGAGAGAATCCTAGAAGCAGCAAGAAATAAGGAGACAGTTACCTACAAAGGGGTTCCCATCAGACTGTCAGCTGATTTCTCCAAAGAGACCTTACAGGCAAGAAGGGGCTGGAAAGAAGTATTCCAAGTCATGAAAGGCAAGGACCTACATCCAGATTGCTCTATCCAGCAAAGCTTTCATTTAGAATGGAAGGGCAGATAAAGTGCTTACCAGATAAGGTCAAGTTGAAGGAGTTCATCATCACCAAGCCCTTATTATATGAAATGTTAAAGAGACTTATCTAAGAAAAAGAAGATAAGAAAACATGTACAGTAAAATGACAGCAAACTCACAATTAGGAACAACCACACCTAAAACAAAAACAAAAACAAACTAAGCAATCAACTAGAACAGGAACAGAACCACAGAAATGGAAATCACATGGAGAGTTAACAGGGGAGTGGGAGGAGGAGAGAAGGGGAAAAGGTACAGAGAATAAGTAGCATAGATGGTAGGTAGAGAATAGACAGGGAAGGGTAAGAATAGTATGGGAAATGTAGAAGCTAAAGAAATTATGACACATGGAGATGAACTAAAGGGGGGGAATGTGGGTGGGAGAGGGTGTGCAGGGTAGAGGGGAGTCAAGGGGGGAAATGGGACAACTGTAATAACATAATCAATAAAATATATTTTTAAAAAATGACTCTGTCTAGGATCTTATAGTACCTCTCATACCTCAGTTTTACATGAAGTGATTTTTCAGTTAATCTTTCAATTTGGACTCCTATAGGCCCCCATTGTCCATACCTAGCTGAGGTAAGGCAGAAGTAGTCACTTGAAGTGGTTCCATTTTGAATTAAGTTCTCTTTATCAACTCTACTTGGAGATCTACTTGTCAGTCACTCAGACACATTAGCTGGAAGGGTAGTTGTGCAAATGTCCAGTGATCCTCATTAGGTGCCCTTGTGCTGTTAATTGCAGCTGTGAGGTCCCTTCTCATTTATCTAACTTCTGGCTGCCCTAGACTCTCAGCCCAGGACAAACAGCCCCTGGGCCCACAGTTAAACTGCAGTTACTTATTTATGCATCTTTCTTTATTAGGCTAGAAGAAAACTTGTAGGTCTTTTCTGTATTTCTTAGGGTTTAGCACAATGTCTGGTACATGATAGGGGCTAAATAAATGTCTGTCTGTTTATATAAATGCTCCATTACTTCTCTCTTTCAGGCCAAGATGGGCTTCAAGGAAGGTGAAGGATTAGGTAAACACAACCAGGGTCGGAAGGACATCGTTGAAGCCTCTAATCAGAAAGGTCGGAGAGGCTTGGGTCTGACCTTGCAAGGCTTTGACCAGGAGTTGAATGTGGACTGGCGAGATGAGCCGGAGGTAACTGGTGTGGGGAGGAGGGGGCAGGACAGCCACTTGGGCTTTGGGGTGCATGTCTTTAAGTAGTCATATTAACAGACTAGAAGTCTCCAGAGGCGGTATGGTCAGGGTGGTTAGTGGGGTTGAACCAGTTTCTTACGGGGAAGGTTCTGGGGATGTCCAGAATAGAAAACAAGACTGGGGGAGGGGGATGTTAGGATGTGGATTTGTTTCCTGTTGCTTCACAGAGGACTAAGACCAGTGGGTAGGAGATGCTGGAAGGCCAAGTTTGCCTCCACGCCACAGCTTTCTCCTATTGACTGAGAAACGTCACAGGGTAGTGAGTTCCCCTCTGCTGAAAGGATTCAAGTGGCTGAACAAGGACCCACTCTTCTGTTGTGTGAGTGGATTAGGGGCCCTCTAAGGTCCTCGCACCTTCTTGAGCTTATGACATCCTGGTTCTAAACAGGTGCTTGTTTATGCCTTATAGCTTTTTTATTGTAGGTTTAGTCTGCTTACCTACTTGGATACCAGTTTGTTTTAACCCTGAAAACCAAAAAAGACTCTTATTCCTTTTCATGGTACAGATATTGAGATTTTGTTTTTATTCATTTATTTATGCCTGAATCTTACTCCACAAAGGATTTGAAGTTATAGGTATAATGAAAGTCCCTAAAAATAATGATGAAATATTATTATTATGGAGTTGAAATGAAAGAAAATAGAAAACAAATGTCTAGTCTTCTATATAGTTGCTGTAATTTAGCGTTAGATGTGGCTCTGAACTCTGGAAAATTGAGTTGATATTTCCAGTTCAGGAAGAACTCCCATGAACCTGTGCCCGATAAAAGCCCATTACGGCTTCAGAGGAAGAAGCCCACAAGCCCAGAGCTAATGGGTCTGGGGTGGTGGGGGTGGTCCTACTGTTTTGCCTTGTAGTTGTGAGGCGAGGAGACCATCAGAGTAGCTGATGAGACCGTGCAGAGTAAGGTAAATATTTGTAATGGGGTACAAGGTGTAAGTTTTTACTTCAGAAATATTTGGTGCTTTCTGTGTCCTCATTTGTGTGAAAACAAGTAAAGAGCCCTGATGTGGCTCTCAGTGGGGCAGAATTAGAAGTAACTTTGCTAAACTTGAAATGTAAAATTTGCTCATAAAATCTCTGCTTTTAATGGAGGCAGGCTACTGAAATTCCTTTTGAGACAAGGCTCTCCTAATTTCCACCTGCCTTATAATTCAGTTTTTCTCTTACAAAAGATACCCTATCTTTTGGTTAGGAGTTTGGCTTAACTATTAGGTGGTGGCTACTTCTTGAAGGTAGAAGGGTCTGAGGAGCCTGAGGCTGACTGTCCCATTCCTGGAGTCACCACAGGGGAAGCACTCAGTGGCTTCTGTAGCTCAGGAATGGAGAGTGTAAGGCTGGATGCTTTGGTCCACTTTGCAGGTAGCTATAGTTAGGCTTCCATGGGGAGATTGAATCTGCTTTTTTCCTCCAAAGGGATATGTATCGAAACTGTATATGAACTTTTTAAAAAAGAGTTTATAAATCAGAAACATTTATGCTTAAAGGTGATGGATTTGACCCAAGAAGAGAAGCCATGATTCACTGCCAGTTTCATTGACAAAAGGCTTCAGTAATTTTTCTTTTAAACTTTTGCTCTGTTGATGGTGCCTGCCCTAGAGACCTTGCATTGTGATACCATTTTATGCCTTTCAGAGCATGTAATATTGCCTTTAACCGCATTGCTTCAATTTGCAATGGTGGGTCTTCTCTCCACACTTGCTCAGGAGGGAATGTGTAAAGCCGCCATGCAGGTTAGCCACCTACTTAGGTTTCATGATCCATGTCTCTCTGGCCCAGTGAACTCAGCCCTGGCTGCACACGAGACTCATCTGGGGACTTCTGAAAGCGTACTTATACCTAATCCCCCGCTCAGACCACAGACCATATACTCTGAGGGTAGGGCCCAGGCATCAGTACTTTTTAAAAGGACTACAGATGATCCTAATGTAGAACCAGGTTGAAAACCACTGATTTAGCATGATAAGGAAAGTAACTGAAAAATTAAAAGGAAACAATATGTTAGAGGTCAGTTTCTACCCTATCTCGGAATGAAGAGGTGAGGAACCCTCTTTGTGTAACACGTGCGTGCAGTCCTCTTGCATGTTAACACTTTGAAAGGCATTGGGGGGTGAGACTCACTGCTTTGTGTCTTCCTGATGTGATTGCCTTGTCACAGACACACATTCCGTGTGTGCCTCTCTGTATCCCCACTGCCTCTTGCATCTTCTTAACTATGCTTTCTGAGCACATAGTCCAGAGCAGGATTCATCAAAAATATTAGAACAAACCTTCAATGAAATACACATCGAAGGTTTGGAAGTTTCTAGGGATCCAGCTAGAATTGGACCTGGCCTTCAGAAGTTAAACTTTAGAATTCTAGCTCGCAATTCTCATGTCTGACCTCTGCCTTTGGCCTCAGCTCCCCAGACCCTTCCCACTCTATAAGTCCCTCTTGATTGTTTTGGGGCAGCCCTGATGCATTAGGGCACAGCCCCGAGGGTCTGTCTTACTGACTTAGCTTGCCTGTCTTTTGTTTGCAGCCCAGCGCCTGTGAGCAGGTGTCATGGTTCCCAGAATGCACCACTGAGATTCCTGACACGCAGGAAATGAGTGATTGGATGGTTGTGGGAAAGGTACGTTTTCGGGAAGATGTACCTGAAATTGTTGGCACTTATCTCCTGACCTTTCTCCTCTCCAGGTCGGTGTGTGTGTGTTTATGCTCACATGTGAAAAACTTGAGTCTTACCATTCTGGCAGGAATAAAACTGTCAAGGGGCGCCTCAAGGACTTGACAGACATGCCCCTGGGAGATGCAGCAGACAGGGTTTTTTTCCTCCTACTCATTTAACTTGCAAGACAACACAAAATGCCTAACTTTTATTTTCCTCACAGATGTTTTGTAGAGAAGCTGATTATACATCTGTGTATATTCTGGTCACTACTGGGCTCTGTTCCAGGTGGATGAAAAGACACTGTACCTGTCCTTAGAAAGTAATGAGGGTGTTAGAGAGGGAATTTGTTTAATATCCTCCTGGAAAATGTTGAGAGTGAAGTAGATAGCTACTAAATGAGTATGGTCTAGAGAGCAGTTCTTAAAGTGTAGGGGCCCCCAGGGATCTCCAAGACACTTACAGGGGGGATCTGCAAGGTCAAAGTTATTTTCATAATGACACTGAAATGTTTTTTCACTCTCATTCTCTCCCAAAGTGTCCAGTAGAGTTTTCCAGAGGTTATGACATGATATCAAAGCCAATTGAATGCAGACGCGAATAGAGGAATCTGGGTGTTTTCTATTTAGCCAGATACTAAGAGATTTACAAAACTGGAAAACAGTGCCATTCTTCTCACCAAGTTAATTTTGGAAACAGTTATTTTTCATAAAATTATGTTAACATAATATTGTTCTTTTTTTTTTAAAGATTTTATTTATTTATTTTTAGAGAGGGAAGGGAGGGAAAAAGAGAGAGAAACATCAATGTGCGGTTGCTGGGGGTCATGGCCTGCAACCCAGGCATGTACCCTGGCTGGGAATCGAACCTGCGACACTTTGGTTCGCAGCCCGTGCTCAATCCACTGAGCTACGCCAGCCAGGGCTTAATATTGTTCTGTTAAACTGAATAAATATTTTAACATTTTCTGTTTTAATTTCTAATAATAAATCTCGAGTATATACGTACATTAAATAAAAAATAAACGAACAAATAAAAGCAAGCTCTTTGAGGTCCTCAGTGATTTTGAAGAGTGTAAAACCTGAGAACACCAAGTTTGAGCACCGTTGGTTTAGAAGTAGCTGCACTCAGACGTGAGGTCGGACTGTATCCCTGAGAGGCTCTCTGAGCCCTTGTTGACTGGGAGGCTTTCAGGTCAGTGTTTAGTGTCCTGCAGTCATACTTACCACAGAGCAAGAGGCTCACTGCTTGAAGGACAGGCTGCTGTCATTTGGGGTAGTCTCCCTCCTTCTGCCCCCATGCCTTAGGGACAGACAGCTTGAATGTCTCCTTCTTGTTCGATTTTCTCCACCTCAGCATTCGTGGGTCTTGTATCCATATGGTGCTCTAGTCAGAGCACCCGAGGGACTGCTCCATCTTGCAGCCCTCTGGAGTTCAGCCAGAGGGATTTCTCATGCCCGCCCCTCGGGGATTGATGTTCTTTGGCAGGGACTCAAGCCTCTTCTCTACTCAGAACCCTAGTTTCTCCACTCATCCCCCCAAATGCAGTCATACATGGTTGTTATTGACTGTTTTCTTCTCCTGTAGCAAAAGATGATTATTGAAGACGAAACCGAGTTTTGTGGGGAAGACCTGCTTCACAGTGTGCTGCAGTGTAAGGTAAGGCCTTGTGGCTAGGGCTGGAGTTGGGAGCTTCGTGTGGGGGGCTGTGTTGGGCTTTTCTATTTCTTTTAAGTCAATTGTGGGTGGCTGAAGTTTAGCTGATATTTTCCTGGAGACCAAGATGTGTAGCTTGTACATTTCTCCAAGGTGCCCTTTTCCTGGTGACTGTCCTGCCTTGTAGTGTTTGTTGTTCTGTCCCTGTGGTCAGTAGCCAGGACAGGATCCACTTAACCTTGGTGGGTCAGTTCATTGTAGTCTTGGTCGGGGGGTGGGGAGAGCTGGTGTAATGAAAAGTTTGGAATCATTCTTTAGCATCAGATAGACCTGAATTCAAATCCTAGTTTGGCAACATTTTTTGCTGTGTGACCTTGGACCGTGCTTTCGCTTCTCTGAGTTTTAGTTCCCTCATCTATAAGATAGGGAGGAAATATTTCCCAGGGTTGCTGTGAGAATCAAATAAAATACTGGGTGTGAGGCTCCTAACATGCGGGGTGAATATTAGCCTTCTCTTGATATCTTGTGGCCTAAGTTTTGAGCCAGCAGGTGCATTGCCCAGGACAGAATGAGCCAAGGAAATTAAGGAGGAAGTGGGTCGGAGAAGCAGTAAGGCCTCAGACCAGCCCCACAGGGCTTATTTTCTGACAGGCAGAGGGTTGGGAATATCCTTCCAGTGACCGGTGCTCATGTGAAGTGAGGCTTGCTTCCAGAGAGGAAATAGGAGAGTGGAGAAGGAATCCCTCCTGTGTGGGAGGTCTTGGTTTATTTACTCTATCTCAGTGAGCCCCGGTCAAGAGAGCCTTGGTATCAGAACTCTGGTCCTTGGAGAGTTGCTGCTGGAGTGGAGAAACATTTTCTGTGAGGAATAGCAATGCCAAGAGGTGGCCCTGTGCATAACCACGGATGCCATTTATTAACCAGTTACCATGTGCTAGGGATATGCTTACATTTTATTTTTTCACATTTTACCAGTGATGTAGTGAGGGTCAGAGTGATTGAGTAACTTGTCCAGGGTCACACAACTGGTTGTTTTCAAGCTGGGATACAGCAGGAGCCTTGCTCTGTGGAGGGCTGCCTGTTGGGCTTCTCCAGTTGTTGGGAGCCCATCCCATCCCGGTGGGTGGTGCTCACCCTGAGTTTCTGATTCTCTGTGGGCAGAGCGTGTTCGATGTCCTGGACGGGGAGGAGATGCGGCGAGCGCGGACCCGGGCCAATCCCTACGAGATGATCCGAGGAGTCTTCTTCCTAAACAGGTTTGCTGATGTTCCCCGCCCCTCCCCTGACGCATGCACCCTTCCGCCTTTTCTTTGAGCTTCGGCTTTCTGTATGTCTGGTACTGAATTGAGCTTCTCTGTCTGACTTTGTTGTAGGGCGGCAATGAAGATGGCTAACATGGATTTTGTGTTTGATCGCATTTTTACAAATCCACGGGACTCCTACGGGGTGAGAACAAGTTTCTGCTTCTGAAATCATGGTGTTAAATGGGCTTAAGCTTCAGTGGCTCAGAAATTGCCATTTGTGCAATGCAGTTACACCTGCTATGTGTCCGAGATACAAATGTTAGAGGTACACACTTTATGTTAGAGATATATTTTGGTTTGAGCTCCTCAGATGGGGCCCCACAGTGTTTTTTTGTGGTCCCAGGAGTGCCCCAATAAACACTGTCTCTAGGGCTTCCTGTCCCAGCCCCCAGGTCTGCAGATCCTCTTGCTTACTCCAGGTGGAGATGGGTAGGGCTTGCAGCAGTGGAGAGGGAACATTCCTGGGCACGATCAGCAGCTAATGGCATCTAATGGCCTAGGGAACAGGTAGATGAGGCCACGAGTTAGAGCATGGGCCTGCCTCCTGTACTCATTAAACATGTATTTATCCAGCCCCTATTTTGTGCCAGGCACAGTGCTAAAGCACCAGGAATATAATTTGGAATGAGATAGATGTGATTCCTTTCCCCATAGTGCTAAGGTTCTGGACATTCTGGTGGACCTGAGAGCTGGTAAGTATACAGGGTTGGGATATTTGTAAAGCCTGTTGTGCTTACTGACATGTGAGGCCAGTTGTCACCAGGGCCCTTTAGCCTGCCTTGTTTGTACCATGGACGAGATGGAGTAGAAGGGGGACTGTGCAGTTCTTGGAGTGAGCTTATTTTCTGATTTGAAACAGACATCATCTGACGTGGGTGCTGTTTCTGGTATGAGAGGGGAGTGCTCTGGGGAATGTTGAGAGGTGAATGAAATGTGGGCCTCTGCAGCCTTCTGCTGATCCATTTACCATCAGTGTCAGGGCTGTGTCGTGGAGGGGAGTGCAGCATTTACAGTCACAGGTGGTGTGTCACTTAAGATCGCACCTTCTTTGTGCCTCAGCTGCCTGCTCTCTGAAAGTAGCCCTACTAACCTGCTACAGGACCAGTGTAGGACCAAAAGGTTCTTAAGAGTTGTTGCAGCTCTCAGATCTGTGATTTCTGATGTGGCTACTTTCCCTTCCTGCCTCTTAGAACAAGCTTAGTGTGGGGTCATAGTTATCAGGCTTTGGCCCATTCTCAAGAAATGGTAGAGCAAAATGATCTTCTATTCTGCTGCACCTGATTTTTCTGAACACACACCCTCTGTGACAATAGAGAAAGAATAAAGGAAATTTCATTCTGGCATTACCTTGGCTGGGTTTCGAGGCATTTTTACCCAGTTCTAGAAAGTGAGCTCTCTGTTTCTGCTTTATTCACCCTTCTTCCATTAGGCCCCCGATTATCCACTCACTGAAGAAACTACTTTTCCAAGCTCTTTAATGTTTCAGTTCCACCTGCCTCACTGCTTTCTCCGTGCAGGCAAAGCTGGCATGGAGAGCCCTCCAGCCTTTAGTCATTTCTCTCCCAGGTCTCCCACCCCATTTTCTAGTCCCAGCAGGCAGCACAAAAGCACTCTTGGAATTAGCATCTTGAGAAAATTAGGTTGATATAATGTTGATTAAATTTTCTGAGCTCCAAATGATTTTAAACTCCTGCCTGGCAGAGGAGCTCTGTCAAGCTGATGGGAAGTCACAGCATCCTTTTGGGCTTTTGAATGAAAGCGCCTCCAGCAGCTGGTATCTGGTTATTATCTTTTGCTGTCAGGAAAGTGAAGCAGGCACCAGGCCATACCATTCAGGTCAAGGCTGAAGATGTTAGTTACATAGGAAAAGGCAGCCGTGTTTGTAATGCTTCAGGCAGAGTCTTGACCTGAATTGATTATTAGTGCCACGCAGAATTGCTCTTTCATGGGTGTTTCTCTACACTCTACTATAAAAAGTGATTTCTCTCCAGCCCCTAGTATTTTCTTCTTTTTTTTACTCTCTGTTTTTCCCTGAGCACCAGCGTGACAGCCAAGGTCAGTAGGCTTGGTATGTTTTTCACGTGAGCAGAGATGCTCTGGAGCAGTTTCCAGAAAAGATGGGAGTGGCCGAAGCCCCAGCCACTGACCAGGTTTGCTAGAGTCTCTGGCTCTCGGATCAGGCAAATTATAGAAGACTAGCGAGCGTGGATGCAGAACATGAAACTTGGGGTGGTGTGGAGAGGTTAGAAGTGGAGAATGGGAGAGGGAACACGACTCTGGGTTTTCCCTGAGTTCTGCAGGTGGTGGTAAAAGTTGGAAAGAGACTAGGTTAGGAAATAAAGAAATTGTAAACAGGAGTTGGAAGAAATGGAGGAAAGAAGGGAATTTAGGTCCTTTGGGTACATGGAAGTGTAGTATAAACCATAACATTACGTGAGGAATTTGTGTGCCTAGGGATGTTGTTGAGGTAAGAAAACATGTTTTGAAGTGTAACAGGCGACAGAAACTGAGGGTAGATGTTTGAGTTTCAGTTCTGTTTTAGAGGAAATGAGAGCACTTAGAAAGTGCCCAGTGAGGCACTGGAAAGAGAAAAAGATGGAAAGGACAAGAGTTTTGACTCTTGAGTTAATCTAGTTGAATACAGTATCTTACATTTGTTTAGTATTTTACAGTTTATTAAGGTTTTTGACATATGATAATTTATTTAATCCTATAGCAGTCTTAAATAACCTACATTAGTCTCAGTTAATAGTTGAGGAAGCTTGAGCTTCAAGACATAAATTGTGTGCTTGCCCATGACTGCACAGCCAATAGGTGGCAGAGGTGAGCACCCAGCTGTCCTTTTATTACAGGGCCTTCTGGCGGTGGCCTATGAGAGCCCCAAATCTTGAAATCACAAAATGAGATCATATTTACCATCTCTTTTTAGATGTGAGGTGCTTTTGTTGGTGCACTCCCCTTTCTTCCCCTAGTCTTCCTTCGGGCCAGCTGCTCACCCGGAGAGGCTGGAGCCTGGGGCTAGAGGATGGGGCACACCCTGTGGTGAGGACCAGTGTCCAGCCTGTGCAGGCCTTAGGCTTGTGATCCCCGCCTCATTACTACCATGCTGTCAGGAAAGTGCTACGTGATGTTCCTGGCAAGTGCCATTAGGTCTTGTGTATGCGCGCATGTGTGTGTGTGTGCACGTGCAAGCATGCAAATGAATATAATCCAAATATATGAGCAGTTGATGGCTCAGGAACAAGGAAGGGGGGAAAGAACTGATACAGCATAGCATGCCTGGGTGGGCTTGTTGCAGGATGGTGAAGTGTATTTTTAGCTAAAGTCACTTTTTCCAGAAACGTATTCACTGTTTTGATAAAGCTAGATAGCTGTCGTCAGAGGGAAGACCCTTGTCACCTAGAAATGGACTGAATTGTGGATGTTAGTTTTTCCATTTCTTTCTTAAAACTGTTTTCCCTAAAGCTTTCTGATCTTTATCTGACAGTTACGGAACTCTGGACAGCACTCAGCCGTGCCCATCTATAGAGAGCTCAGGCCAAGCTGCCTGAGCCCCTTCATCAGGGTCCTCTTCTGCCGCTATCTAGAGCCCAACCTCTTGTTGTAGATGGTGCCTCCTCCCCACTGTGGAGGGTCGGGACAAGTAGAGGTCCCTGTCTGGGGGGACCAGGTGTGTAGAAGAGAAATGTAAGCACACAACACAGGTCAGTGCTGCTTTCAGCATGAATTTTAGATTAAAAGTTAAAACTACTCAAGTGGCCCAAACTATAATCCAACAAAAATTCAAATGGTTATTATAATGTAGTTACTTCTGAGCTGGGTGGGTGTTCTGAGGGTGTTCTGGAAGCAGCACACCTATGTTTCCTTTTCCCTCTGTCTCATCTGCTGCCAGCTGTGCACCGTCCCAGGCCCCCAGAGAGGCAAAGGCAAGGGAAGAGAGGGCTGTTAAAAAGGAGGAGACCAGATGCATTGTGGTGTCTTGGGTTGGATCCTGGAACAGAACAAGGACTCTAGTGGAATCCGAATCAAGTCTGAGTTTAATCAGTAGTAGAGTACCAATGTTAGTTTCTTAGTTTTGACAAGTGGCAGTGTAACATGTCAGTAAAACTGGAAACTGAGTGAAGGGACTATGAGGGCTCTGTCTTTGCAACTTTTCTATAAATCTAAAATGAAGACAAAATAAAAAGGTAATTGAAGAAAACGGGAGAGCATGGGAAGGAAAGGGGGCAGGGAGGCAGTGGCTTGGTCTGGGAAGGCAGGTAGGTGCTGTGACTGAGGCAGATGATGTTAGAGCCCCCAGACGTGGGTTGGACAGCAAGACCCTAGTGTGGCAGTCAGGCCTACCGGCTCCTGGTTTACCTTTGCTGCACACTGGTTGGAAACAGGTCGCTTTGTGTTTTGGTGTCTTTTTCTTTGTGTGTAATGAATCAGTTCTGCTCAGTAGGACTCTTGTAAGGTAGGATATGGTGAAAAAAGGATGCCGAGAAACAAAAAATGCACACTCAGGTGCCCATTAAGATGAGTTTATGAGGAGTCTGAGGTAGGCCTGTTGGTGTGGAAGGCGTTGGGGTGTTTTGAGGTGGGGATGGGCAACTCCGGAGGGTGGCGGTCACAGAGTTGCATTTCCTGGGTGTCGTGGTCCTGGCGGGAACTCTGCCTTGTGCTTGGGGAAAGGCTGATTTCCCTCCCCGCCTACTCCCCACTGAGCCATCTTTTTTCTCTTTCTCCCCCATCTTCCACTTGCCTTTGCAGAAACCCCTGGTGAAGGACCGGGAAGCTGAGCTTCTGTACTTTGCTGACGTCTGTGCCGGCCCAGGTGGCTTCTCAGAGTACGTGCTGTGGAGGAAGAAGTGGCACGCGAAGGGCTTTGGAATGACTCTGAAGGGCCCAAATGACTTCAAGCTGGAGGACTTCTACTCAGCCTCCAGCGAACTCTTTGAACCTTACTACGGTAGGGACACAGAGGGTACAAGGGGATATGGGACAGTCCTCTGTGGGGACTTGAGGTCAGTAGCAGCTACTATCCACTTGCCATGTTTTCTTTCCTTGGTCTCTTAGCTTGGGGGTCCTAGTCCCATGCCATGAAGGTCTCAGTTTCCTCTGGGCTGTCCCTTTTTACCCCAGGCCTGCGGGATACAGGTTAAACACTCTGCTAGGCAAACTCTCATCCAGACCATACTCATTCCTTCTTTTCTCTCTGGTAACAGGAGATAATGAAACTGCCTGATCTCCGGCTGAGAACTGGCAGGGTTATTAACATACACACCCCATGCCCATCTCCAGCCTGGTGCGGGGCTGTGGAAAGTATTGGTAACAGACAGCTCAGCAACCTCACAGCAGTTCCCTCCACTCGGTCTTGATTGTTGTGATTTGACAGCAGATTCTAAGTCCTTTCTTAACAGTCCTTATTAAAAAGTCAGCACTGCTTCTGAAGTGTAGGTGCTTTAAACATAGTGTTGGCCTTGGGGAGGAAGGCCCTCTGTTCCAATTGCTGATTCTTGGCTGGTTAACTCCTTTTCATCTCTTTAACATCTTTTTCATTTATTACATACAGCAGGGCCCTGTTTCTGCCTCTTGGTGCATCACTGCAAGGCAGCCTTGCAAGAGGGGTCCTACAGGGAGTTGCTCCTCGCAGGGGCTTTTCTCCTGGACCTCATGACCCACCTGGTAGCTTTTTCACAGCCCCAGAGAGCTCTTGCCCCAGCTCTTGGGATGCACAGGACCAACGAGATTAATGTGAGCCTTGTGTCCGGCAGGCGAGGGTGGGGTCGATGGAGATGGAGACATCACCCGCCCTGAGAACATCACTGCTTTCCGGAATTTTGTCCTGGATAACACGGATCGAAAGGGAGTCCACTTTCTGATGGCCGATGGGGTAGGTGTTCTGTTCTCCATAGGCCTATTTATCACATAAGAGGCTTGAGAGTTGTTTTTGTTTTGTTATGATAGCCCTTTAGCTGCCCTGGAAGGTGCTAGCTCACTATTCAGATAGTAGGGGATGCATGATTTATGTTTCTATTCTTTTGTGCATATGTTTCAATGATAACTTTGTCAAGGCAGTGATGTTGTGGACACCTTTGCTTGGAGCAAGTGGCCCCTCTCAGCTCACTTCTTTAAAGGGCCCCAGTTGGCTGTGAGGCCCAGTGAGGTAAGGACCATGACTAAGGTGAACTAGGCAAAACTGGGAAGAGCATGTCCATCCTTTGTCACCTGGGTGCCACTCTTGGCAGAGAGATGAGCACGTAACCAAAGGCAGCAGCTCCAGGGAACCCACAGCAGCTTTCAGTCAGTGGCTGGGCTAAAGCGAATATTCTTGGAGCCTCATTCTTTGGGCAGCTGCTTGAAGTGTACAGAGAGGAGCCCACTGCTGCTTTCTCACCCACTAGTCTGATGTGGCAGGTAGTCTTTTCTGGAGTGGGCCACCACTTAGTCTAGAGGAGGGACAGAGAATAAGGCAGTTGCTCCAGAGTCACATGACTACAGTTGAGGAAAACCTCTGGAACAACTTGAGTTGCCTTTCAAGTATCAGCTTGTGGAAAGATGAAGGGATGTGCAGGATGCCAGCATAGGCTCTCAGAGCATTGTGCACAGCAGGGAACAACACAGATGGGCTGGGGGCGGCGGTACTCCAGCTGAGCCAGCGTGTTTCTGGCAGTGCGTGTTTCTAGCAGTGCTTGGGAGGCCCTGTTGCAGTTGGGCAGCTGGAGTGGCAAACTCGGGTTGTCTTCCTTCTTCAGCAATGTAGACTGGTGACCTGGGCCGCTTTTTTCCTTCTTTTTTGATTGACCCTATAAACAGGCATGCATTTTGAGGAGCATCGATAAATTTAGAACACATTGCTAAACACTTTAAAAGATTTTATTTTATTATTTATTTTTAGAGAGATAGGAAGAAAAGGAAAAAGAGAGGGAGAGAATCATTAATGTGTGAGAAATACAATATATCAGTTGGTTGTCTCTTGAACACCCCCCAACCTGGGGCTCCAGCCCGCACTCCAGGCATGTGTCTCAACTGGGAATCGAACCAGCAATCTTTCAGTTCACAGGCTGGCATTCAGTCCATACCAGCCACAGTCCGCTAAACAGTTTTTGATTTTTGGATCACTTAGCTATTACCTTCATAAGACTGAGTCAGGGAACCTGGCCTGGCTGGGGCCAGCTTAACGAGTGACAGCTTCATTTACTTTTAAAAAAATTATTGTAAAAAAACATGTAACAGATTTCCCATCTCAACCATTTGTAAGTATACAGTTCAGTAGTGTTAAATATACTAACATTATTCTGAAACCGATCTTCAGGATGTTTTGATTTTACAAAATTGAGACCATGCCCATTAAACAGCTGCCCTCTCCCCTCCCCCAGCCCTCAGCCTCCTTTTCTTCTCTGTGATCTTGGCTCTGCTCCCTGCGGGGCTCTCCCAGGAGGAGACCACTCCAAGAACAGCAACATACATTCTTTGAACAAACATCCTGGCCAGAGACCCTGTCAGCTAGAGGGAGAAACTTCATGGTCTTAGAAGAGGAAAGTGGGTTTTATGAGTAAATCTTTGTTCAGCAGAGAAAGTGAGATCACTGAGAGTCAGAGGTTTGCTGACTTTTCTCCTGTCACAAAACTGAGGCCTGTTCAGCGGTCAGCACAGAGGCTGAGGGAGCCCAAGCAGAGCACTCATGCCACACGTACTTCCTGGGTCTCCTCAGACTCACCAGAGCATCGTTCCTGTATTTGGCCTGTGACTAGCCAGTGCTTTGCTTCTGTTCTGCCTTATTCTTCCCTTGGATTCTTAAGTGCGTGTTAAAATTTTCTGGACCATCTCCAGTTGTCAGGCCTGGGTCCTGTTTGTAAGGAACCATATGACCTGCCAAAATAATTCAAATGCTAAGCTGTATCTTTATCAGTCAGGTGGTGGAGATCCATGAAAACACTTGAAGAAATCTTAATGAAGATGAGATAGGGGTGTTTTTCAGTCTCCTTTGCTTCTGTTTCCCACCCCAAGTCTTGTGCTGTCGTTTCAGGGTTTCTCCGTGGAGGGACAGGAGAACCTGCAAGAGATCCTGAGCAAGCAGCTGCTGCTCTGTCAGTTCCTCATGGCGCTCTCTGTGGTCCGGACAGGTGACGCTCCCGCAGCCGTCTCCCCACCCCAGGACCCGCTGGAGGCCCCCCTGTTAGAAAAGAGCATGCATAAGGGCTGGCTCAGAAGTTAAAAACAAGAAACCCGCTCATGTTAGGTGACAGGTGGCTGAATGAGGAGTTTAGGGAGGAAAGTGCTGCAGAATCCTCTAAGTCCCCCCTAAAGCTAAATGGACCCTTAAACTGCCTCTGACTTTTGATGGACCCAGGTTCTGAGTCCCTGACTTGGTCATATTTACTCCCTGAGATCACCTTACCCGCCTCCTGGACTAGAACCTACTGATTGTTGTTGGTATTTTCTCTCTAATCCAGGAGGCCACTTCATCTGTAAAACCTTTGATCTGTTCACACCATTCAGCGTGGGGCTCATCTACCTGCTGTACTGCTGCTTTGAACGAGTGTGTCTATTTAAGCCGATTACCAGCCGTCCGGCCAACTCAGAGAGGTGAGGTTTTCCTCTCCATTTTAATCCGAGTAGTTGGCTAAATGTCAGAACACAAATCCTGGTGCCTCTCTCTGGCATGTTCCCTCAGGCTACATTAAAAATCTTGACTTTAAAGAAGTGATTAAGCCCAGAGGAGTCAGGATTTGGACTTTAGTGGGTCTGTGATAATGCCATTTCAGCCTCTGCCTCCTTCTTTACAAGCCTTATTCACCACACTTACGTGGGGGATCCTTGGGTTGGCCCAAGAAGAAGGAGGTGATCAATAAAAGGGACAACTGGAGAGACAGGGCTTGGGACAGGGCAAGGGAACCACCGGTCAGAAGCATCCTAGGTAGGACACAGTGCCCATGCACAGTGTGAGAGAAGATGCAGCCAAACTGAATTGCTAGGTGGCTTGTTAAAAACACAAGTTTTCTGAGCCCTATCCCTGGAATGTCTGATTGATGAGTCTTTATCAGAATCCCCAGGTGATGGTGATGCAGCCACCCTGGCACAGGGCTCTTGGGAACCACGGCCATAAAGAGTAGAAATACAGTCCAACATAAAAAGGAAGGATTTGAGGTGAACTTTTGTAGCACAGAGTCTGTGCTGTTCCTTGTGTATAGACTTAAGGCTGTTAAACTTCATGACTCCAGGGGTTTGGGGGAGGAGGAATGTTGGCAGAAAGTCCTTGCTCGTGGAATGAAATTTTTCTCCTGCCAGGTATGTGGTGTGCAAGGGCCTGAAGGTGGGCATAGATGATGTGCGGGAGTACCTCTTCTCAGTCAATATTAAACTCAACCAGCTGCGAAACACTGGTTCCGATGTCAACCTTGTGGTCCCTCTGGAAGTGATCAAGGGAGACCATGAATTTACTGACTACATGATACGGTCCAATGAGAGGTAAGCAAACCAGGTATTCTTTGCTGGCACCACTAGGATATTAGGGAAGGCCAAAGAATGAAGGACCAAATGATTGCCTCTTGGTATCAATTTGTCAACCCTAAAAACTGGTAACTGGATTTGGTCTGCTTGTTCTTGGCCACCTGGGACTTAGAATACCTTGGGGACCCTCATCCTGCTCCCATGCCTTCTCACAAGGGTGGCCAGTGGGAGCCTGGGTGCCATAGTCCTGCCCATGGGGGCCTGAAGGGCAGCTTCATCGTGTGTCCCTGGTGGCAGGAGTAATTTCCCTTTAATTTCTTGTTTGTAAAAGGCCATCGTGGTTGCTGGCTTGTGGAGTCCCTGTTTGGAGGCGGGAGGTGGCTGGAAAGCAAGTACATGACAGGTTTTGGAAGTTTCTGATACCAAAGCCTTTGCCAGTTCATGAGTTCCTTAGATGGGTGATTCGAATGCTGTTGTTGTGTGTTTTGTTTTGTTTTTAAACCTTGTTTAATTGTTTTTCCTCCTCCCAGGTAGTGGTAATGTGAAGTTGTGACAGTTGGCTCAGTTTTTTAGGGGCAAGCGTTAGAAACAAGTTTTTTATGGTAGGTTGGAGAGCTGTATAGTAGCAGTGAGTCCATGGAAGTGCTTTTTTGGGGGACTGAATAAGGTCATTTTATCCATTCACCTGTCCATGGACATTTAAATTGTTTCTGCATCTTGGCTATTTTGAATAATGCTACAGTGAACGTGGGGATACTAATATCTTTTCAAGATCCCAGTTTCAGTTATTTTGGATAAATACTCAGAAGAGGAATTGCTGGATCCTAATGGTGTTTGTCTTTTTTTTTCCCTGCTTCGTTGCACTTCTGGTTCCTCCAGTGTGATGTTAAATTGAAGTGATGAGAGCAGACACCCCAGCCTTGTTCCTGGTTTTAAGTGTGAAATGTTTACCCATTAAATACAGTGTTAGCTGGAGATTTTCATAGATATCTTTTATCAGGTTGACAAAGTTTTCTTCTATTCCTTGTTTGCTGAGAGTTTTTACCATGCCTAGATGTTTAATTTTGTCAAATATTTTTTATGTATCTATAGAAATTACTTTTATTTCATTTATAGTGAATTACTTTGATGATTTCCAAATGGCAAACAGATCTTGCATTTTTAGATTAAGTCAAGTTGATCATGAGTTACACTCTCATATGTTGCTAGAATTGATTTATTATATATTATTAATGATTTTTGTATCTATGTTCATAAGGGATATTAGTCTCTAAATCTGTATTCTTTTGAAGTTCTTGTCTGGTTTAAATATATATGTATATTTAAGTGCTATATATTTCTCTTTATAATCCTGTAATTCATACATAAATATATGAAAAGAAAAAGAGTCTAAAATCAAGAAGCTAGAAAAAGAAAAGCAAATTGAGCCTAAATTAAGAAGCATAAAGGAATTAGCCTTGACCACTGTGACTGGGTTGGGTGCCATCTTGCAAAGCTAAAGGTTTTTGGTTCAGTTCCCAGTGGGGGCACATGCCTGGGTTGTGGACCAGGTGCCTGGTTGGGGTGCGTGCGAGAGGCAACTGATTGCTGTTTTCCTCTCCTACATTGATGTTTCTCTCCCTCTCTTTCTCCCTCCCTTCCCCCTCTCTAAAAATAAATAACTATTTTTTTAAAAAGGGGTTAATAATTTTCTTTTATTTAATCAATTATTTATAGCATTTACATATATCTGTATTAAATTTTCCTTTAAGGACTGCTAATCTGAGTGTCCCACATTTTGATATCTTTTCTCATCATTACAGCATTCAAAATATTTTAAAATTTTTCCTTATAATTTGTTCTTTGATTTAATGGATTATGTACATGTGTGATATTTAATATCCAGATATTTTGGGATTTCTAAGATATACTCTGTATGATTTTCATCCTTTGAAATTTATTGAAACTTTTTTTCTGGCCTATCATATGATCTATCTTGGTGAATATTCCAACTGCTACTGTTGAGCCTATAGTGTTTTATGAAGGTTAATGTCAAGTTGGTTCATAGTGATTTTTAAATTTTACATATCTTAGCTGATACTGACTACTTCTGTTGGTAGCTAAAAGAAGGCTGTTAAAATGATTTGTCTATTTTTTTAGTTTTATTAGTTTTCCTTATATATTTGGGGTCCTTGTTATTAGCAGGCACACACACATTTAAGGTTATTTTGTCATCTTAACGAATTGACCTCCTGTCAGTGTAGCGTGTCGTTCCGTATCTCTGGTATACCCTTAGTCTACTTGTCTGATAGCAGTATGGCCACATCATCTTTCTTTTGTTCAGTATTTATGTGGTTTATGTCCTTTTATGTCCTTTTCATGTTCTTTTATTTTCAGCTTGTGTTTGTGTTTGTAAATAACATATGGTTGGGCCTTGACTGGTGTGGCTTGGTAGGTTGGGCATTATCCCATGAACCAAAAGGTCACTGGTTCTATTCCCTGTCAGGGCACATGCCTAGGTTGTGGGCCAGGTCCCTGGTCGGGTGCGTGTTAAGGGCAACTGTTTGATGTTTTTCTCCCTCTCTTTCTCCCTTCTTTCCCCTCTCTCTGAAAATAAATAAAATTATTTAAATAAGTAACATATGGTAGGTCTTACCTTTTTTATCTAGTGTGACAGTCTCACTCTCTTTTTTTAATCCTCATCTGAGGATATGTGTATTGATTTTATGGGGGCTGGGGGGAAGATATCAATCGTTTGCCTCCCTTATGTGCCCTGACTGGGGATCGAACCTGAAATCTTTTGGTTGGACACTCTGACCAGCTGAGCCACCTGGCCAGGACCAGTCTCCACCTTTTAATTGGGGTGTTCGGTACTTTTACATGGACTGCAGTTGTTGATATGTTTGGGTTTAAATCCTTTGTCTTGGTTGTTGATTTCTGTTTATCCTGCCTTCTGTTTCTCTGTTCCTTTTTGGAGAAGCAAACTAAGTATTTTTAGCAGTATTTCTTTTTATCTTCTTGGGGTTTTTTCTTTTAATGCTCTTTGTATGTTATGTTTCAGTTGTTAACTCTAGAGATTACAGTATGCGTCTTTAATTTATCATAGCTTCTTCAAAAAGTGTTCTGCTTCATGAACAATGTAAGAACCTCACCAGATGTAAACATGCTTTTGTAATCCTCCTTTTTTTGTGCTCTTGTTTCATAGAAAAATCTTACTTTACATTGCCTTTTTTAACAATCTATAGTCTTTTATTTTTTATTTAAAAAATTTTTATTGATTGATTTGAGAAAGAGAAACATCAATTTTGTTGTTCCACTTACTCATGCACTCATTGATTGATTCCTGTACGTGCTCTCACCAAGGGTCGAACCCACAACCTTGCTGTATCAGGATAACGCTCTAACCAACTGAGCCACCCGGCCAGTCTAACAGTCTTTTAAAGAGATTTAAAGATACATATGTGTGTGAGTATTTATTTATTTTTAAAGGTTTCTTGATATTTACTGACATACCCGTTTTGGTGTTCTGCATTACTTCCTGGAGAACCAGGAGTCATTTCTCTTCACCCTAAAGGATTTCTTTTAGCCTGTGTTTGTAGTGCAGTCTGCTGGAGACTAACTCCCTCAGCTTTTGTCTTTTGAAAAATGTTTTTATTTACCTTTCACTTTTGAAGGATATTTTCATTGGATAGAGATTTCGAAGTTGGCATTACTTTTCTTTCAGCACTTTAAAGATACTGTTCTCTGCTTTCCTTGGTTTTTGATGAGAAGTCAGCCAATAGTCTTGCCATTGTTTCCCTGTGCATGTGTTGCATTTATGCTTTTCTCCTTATCTTTTGTGTCCAGCATGTTGACCCTGATGTGTTTTGTGTTTGTATATGGTTTATTTTTTTATGTATGGATTCTGCTTGGGGTTGGTTTTTTCACCTTGGGTCTATAGATTGACATCATTCATCAGTTTGGGGAAATTCTTAGTTATTATGTTGTCATTATATGTGTCCTTTCTTTCCTCTGCTTCTGAGATTCTAGTTATATTTGCATTACACTGCTTGTTATTGTCCACAGAGCTCACATGCTTTGTTATGGTTTTCACTTTTTTCTCTGTTTCAGTTTGAGTTTTTGTCTATCCTCAAGTTCACTGATTCTTTCCTCTACTGTGTTCAGTCTGCTGGTGAGCCCATCAAAATCATTCTTTATCTCTAACATCCTATTTATCAGGTCTATAATTTTAGTTGCTTTAAAAAATATAGTTTATATATTTGTTGATATTCTCCATCTGTTTATGCATGTTGTACACCTTTTCCAGTAGATCCTTTGACGTGTTTTTCAGTTGTTGTAAAGGCCCTGTCTGATAATTCCAACATTTGGACCATCTCTGGGTCTTGCTCTATTGCACTTTTTTCTCTCTCGTCAGTGGGTCACCTTTTCTTCCTGTATCAATGAGTTTCATGTTTTTATTAAACTCCAGACAGTGTATATACAAGAAAAATGGAGACCAGAATAAAAAGGGCAGCTGTTAGTGTAGGCGAGTTAAGTCAGTTTAGTCTGTGAACTAGGTCTGTGCTCTGTTGTTGCTTTATTTAGAATCAGCTCACCACTGCTCTCACGCTGGTAAGGATGGGACCAGAACCATCCTTTCTGCAGGACTTGTAGCAGCACCTGAGTGTGTGAAGGGTCTGATTCATTTCTCTACTTTACCGCCAGCCTTCAGCAGGCCCACGGAGTCGTACTTTGGGGTGTGGTTGAGGTGGTTCTTTTTCAACTCCCCTAAATATAGATGGTCATTGCTCCTGCTAAACTTCTCTGTCCTGATGTCTTTTGGCTGTATTTTTTGGTAATCCTTCTGAGATTTTTTTTTTTCTTCTAGACACTGTAGTCTGCAGATCAAAGCTCTGGCCAAAATCCATGCCTTTGTTCAAGACACGTGAGTCTTGCCCATATTCTGGAATTCCCCTACTTCAAGGGAGGATCTCTTCATTTTGCTCCTCCCCCTGAGCTCTTTATTTCATTTCAGCAAACATTTAAAAATTTGTACTCTTTTATCTCCTGCTCTGCTGTGGTTTGTGAAGGATGCCAGAGAAACGTATGGCATGAACCTTGCCCTCAAAGGCTTTATGATGTCTTTGGGAAGATAAGATTCTAGGAAGAGGATACAGGAATAGTTATTAAGGGTGTATCGGAGAGTGTAGAATACATCACTCAGGAGACACAGAATAAAGAGTGGTCAGAGAGGAAAAGCAGGACTGGTTAGGGAAAACCTCTAGTAGCGGCAAGCATAAGCTAATTCAGCTTTCTACGGCACAGTGATGTCCACCAGGATGGATTTACTGGGGCCTGTGCCAGCAGAAGAGCCAGGATGTACCCATGGGTTATTGGAGGGAGCCCAGGCAGGCATCCAGGTGGTCAGGCGGGGAGTCTCCTTTCCCTTTGTGGCGGTGAGGGAAGGTCATCCCCTTTTGTGTGCATCAGAACTCCCGTCTGCAGGGGGCAGAGCCATGTGAGTGTGATAAGCTCCCCGGGCTGATGGTAGCACAGCCTCCGTGTGCGCACACACATTTATGCATGTGGGCTTCTTCTCTCTGGGGTTCTGAGGGGTGCGCAGACGCACACTCCTTGTACCTCATGGAGGTTTTAATCATTTGCTGGCTTCATTTTCCCAGGACCTTGAGTGAGCCTCGGCAGGCAGAGATCCGGAAACAGTGCCTTCGGCTTTGGGAGGTGAGCATCTCGCCCCTAGCCCATTGTTGCTCCACGGCAGGGAGGCTGTAGAGAAGAATAGGTTTGACTCCCAAGCATTTCACCTTAATGTCTCCTACCTCATGAACAGAACACATCTGCCTTCCCTCACAGCATTCCAGAGCTGGAAGTCTCAGCATTGTTGGCTTTTACCTCCTTGGCCCTTTCACTGCCAGTTTGGCCCCGCAGCTGGGTCATAAAGGCCAAGAGTGGTGGAGGAATAGGTATCATTTCACTACTGGTCATCCTAAGTGGACAGCCAGCAGAGAAAGGGAAGTGGCACATGGGGTGTGCTACCACAGGGCCTGAAAGGGAGCAGTGACTGCACTGTCCTCCTCTATCCCCCTCTTTGTGGCCTCCTGTGCTCCATGCTACTTCCTCTTCCCCACTCCTCCGACCCATCCCCTCGCCTACATAGACTAACTCAGCCTTGGTCAAAAGTACATTTGAGCCTTAGCTAGTGAGGCTCAGTGGATTGAGTCTGACCTATGAATCAAAGTGTTGCCGGTTCAATTCCTAGTCAGGACACGTGCCTGGGTTGCAGGCCAGGTCCCTGGTAGGGGGGCGCAACAGAGGCCACCACACATTGATGTTTCTTTCCCTCTCTTTTTCTCTCCCCTCCCCTCTGTCTAAAAATATATAAATAAAATCTTTAAAAAATACTTTTAAAAAAGTACATTTGAAAATCAAAGCTCTTTGCTATCTGTTTTCAGATCCCAGACCAGGCTCGAGTTGCTCCTTCTTCCTCAGACCCGAAATCTAAGTTCTTTGAGCTAATTCAGGTAAGTGTGGTATCTAGTGAGAATAAAAAGTTAGAGAGGCCTACATCTAGATGTGGAAAGTATCAGTGAGACCCCAGATGCCTGGCCTCCAAAGGGTTTGTGCAGGCACCACCTGGGCACCAAGGGGCCAGGCTGAGGGGTAACCTGCAGCGTAGGGTGTTGAGTTCCCCAGGAGCCCATCAGGCTGTCTAAAGACTTTTGTCCTGAGATAGGCTGTGCTCAGCATTCCCGCCACCCAAAGGATGGTGCAGACTGTCACTGTCCGGCAGGTGTAGGATTCTGTGAGATTTGCCTGCAGGGGAGACATTAAATGTGGGGTGACCTTTGTCTGGGGAGCTGGGCAGAGAGCCAAGAGGGCTGCCCGGAGAACTTTGCAATGGGTCTGGCCTAACCCTAGGCTCCCTGACCTGTTTCTGGTAAGTTGGTCCTTGGATTTCTTCTGCCTTGCTTCTTTCCTACCACCCGACTTCCAGCTCTTCCCTGGGTTTCATTTAAATCTGGCCCAATCATGGGCCATTGTGCTGGTTTTGAGAATGAGTTTGAAGCCTCAGAAGAATAGCATGTGTCCATTTTTCTGAAGGGGGTGGAGATATCACTTAACTGCTCTCACATCAGCTGCTGGTGAGTCCTTGCCTTCAGTCTTATTGAAGGGTTGGCTTTTATATTCTGGTGACACTTGCTTATATAAGCTCAGGTAAATCAGTCTGTACTGGGAGACTCGGTGTTGTTTCCTTTCCCAGCCTCCCCTAACAGGTCCTAAAGGAACACTCCAGGCAAATGGAATTAGCTCCCAGTGAGTGCTTGGTTAGGGAGAGCAGGAGTGCAGGGGATGGTTCAGAGAGCAAGTGCTTCCTGTCCTTACCTTTCCCAGCCTGCCCCCACCCTTGTATAGGCACCCATACTGAGTGCTTGTCCCTTCCCCCAACCCAGCCGTGTTTTCTCTGACCCGGGGCTGCAGGGCACTGAGATTGACATCTTCAGCTATAAGCCCACGTTGCTCACCTCCAAAACCTTGGAGAAGATCCGCCCAGTGCTCGACTACCGCTGCATGGTGTCTGGCAGTGAGCAGAAGTTCCTCCTTGGCCTGGGGGTAAGTCTGCAGCTGGCTTCCTACCCAGTGAAGGGTGGCGGAGCCTTGCCTTTGGTCTGAGAATCTAGACAGCTGCCTGCCACACTCAGTGTATGTTCTCTTGGCACCGAGGAGTTGGGGCTTTGACCCCAAGGAAGGTATTTCTTGAAACTTCCTTTCTCCCTCTGAGTTAGCCAGATGTTTTCCTTCTTTCTTTTATTCACGTATTTGCTTATTCATCTCTGTGCATTGCTAAAGGGAATACTGCCTCTTTTCTTGTAATATGGAACTTCCAAGGCTAGTAGGATGGTCAGCGGGCTAATCTGGCTTGGGCCCATGCCGGTGGCATTTCTTTGCAATGCCACCGGCACCCCATTTCATCACTTCTGGGAAAGACACTACCTGTCCCCAACTCTGGGGCCCTAGGAATCTAAAACGAGCTGAAGGAAGGAAAGCCTTGGCAGTTCTGTATGTTGCTCGATTGGGTCATCTCTGTGCATCAAAGGCCCTGGTGGGCCTGCTGGGTATTTTTTAGCTGCTGATTTAGTTTTTGATGAGGGATAATTGCTCTTTCTTTCCACTCTGACTTGTCTTTCTACATAATTTTGTCTCTTCTTCTTCACTTTCCCTGTATCCTCTCACACTTTATCTCTCTCCTCCTCTGCTTTCTGGATCCTTTCCCAAACCTACCTCAGTCTAAGGGGGGTATACACTAAGCTGGATCTTTCTTGAGAGCCACTATTTATGAACCTTGGCCTTTTGAATGCTGCCCTGGGTCTGTTGCCTACATCAGGACTGAGTCAGTCGCTGCTTCTCTCTTGCTGAAGCTGCGGAAGACAACACTGTCTTATCGCCGGAGGATATAACCGACTGGTCTCGCCTAGACGTTTTCTTCCGACACTTCCCAGCCCTATAAGCTTGTAGCCACCAACTAAAAGCCCTTTTAAGAACTGAACCTCTGATCCCTCAGTCTCCATGCCTGCCTGACCCAGCCTTTCTCTCTGCTCTTAGAAGTCACAGATCTACACGTGGGATGGCCGCCAGTCAGACCGCTGGGTCAAGCTGGACCTGAAGACAGAGCTACCCCGGGACACTCTGCTCTCTGTGGAGATTGTCCATGAGCTGAAAGGGGAGGTCAGAGGTGGTTCTGCTCATGTGTCCTGCCCCTGCCAGCCAGGAATCTGGGGCACAGCTGAGTCTGGCCCTTTTCTCCCTGAGTTAACTGGGTTACATTGTATGTGGTGCTTGATAGGCCCAGGGCCAGGGTACGGCTTGGTAATTAGTTGTTGAGCAGCTGTCATGGCATATTCAGGTAGGAGGGACCACAGTCTTCATATGTGAAGGAGGGGACCTCTGCCATCTCTATGCATCAAGGGCCCTGGTGGACTTACTAGGTATTTTTTAGCTGCTGATTTAGTTTTTGACCAGAGATCCCTTGGGAAAGAAGCAACCTTCTCACTAGCTTTGGATGTTAACAGCCATACAGAGGACTCTTAGAACATTCAGTGGGAAAATCTGGCAATAGTAGGAGGTCAGGCCCTTGGCTGGAGCACCATGGCAGCAGCTTCGCTGGGTCTGAGATTCAAGGAGGCTCAATACCCAGAGCCTCAGATCTCTGCCTGCTCAGAAGCCTGGGCCAGGCTAGTGCTGAGAATTCAGCAAGGAGGGGGGCAAGAGAAATACCCTGTGTTTAGAGCCAGTCCCTGCCCCAGCTGTAGGCAGAAAGGTGGGCAGAGTGGTCCCAGGCCAGTGCCTGGCGGGGTGGGCAGTGTGCTTGTCCTTCTAGGGGAAGGCCCAGCGAAAAATTAGTGCGATCCACATCCTTGATGTCCTCGTGCTGAATGGCAGCGACGTGCGGGAGCAGCACTTTAACCAGAGGTCTGACCTGGGCCCTGGGGGAGGGGCCTGGGGTGGGCCAGGGCACCTCTGTGGCAGCAGCCCCCGAGGCTTCTCCACTCACCCAGGCCTTCTGTGCTTAAGGACATCCTTAGAATTTTCCTCCTCCACCCATGGTCTGGTTTCAAGGGTGAGAAATTGGTGTTGGCACTTCAGACTTTGCTTAAGCCTTGCTGGTCATAGATTACCAGCACAGTCCTATTTTGCTACAGCTGTTCAGATAACAGGTGATATTTGTGTTAAGGTTGAGAAAGAGGGTCACCATATAGGGAGAAGGAGGGTCTTCTTGGAAGAACATGTCTCATGCTTGGGTGGTCCCATTTAAGTTGGTTCATCTGGGCCCCACAATTCCCATAGAGGCACTTCTGTTGGAGGGTGCATGCCTGATCAGTTGTGAAAAAGGAGGGATGTCTTGCAGTGCCGTGATGCCGACATCGCTCCTAAGTTGGGTCGTCGGAGTGAGTGTGCTGTGGTGTCTGTGGTTTGGAGCAGACATTTACAGTGGGGATGACACTGGAGTTCTGGAGGAGGGGCCTGAATGCAGCTGCAGGCACACTTCGGGAGAACCAGCCAAGCTATAGCAAAGTCAGAGATCGGAATCCAGAGAGGGAGTGCGTGTAGAGAAAGACATTAGTGGGAAAGGGTAGGGTAAGTCTCCTGGGGCACAGGAGTGCTGCCTCTTGGAGCAGTTGACTGCTGCTTGCCGCAGTCAGGAGTGTTCTCGAACTGGTGCTGGGAGAGTGCCCTGGGGCGGGCAGGGGTGCTGGTGGAGGCACCCTTGCTTGCGTCTGAGTGATTCCCTTTGGATTGTAGAATTCAGCTCGCTGAGAAATTTGTGAAAGCTGTTTCCAAGCCTAGTCGGCCCGACATGAATCCCATCAGGTAAACATATCATCTCCTTCCCAAATCCCCGCTCCCTTTGCTTCTTTATGGCCAGTGTCTTCTTCCTCATCCTATGGGGGAGACCAGGTGAGTTTGGTGTTAGAGATGACTGCCCTTGATGAGTGACTTATCTGGGGTGCTAGGCAGATGGCTTCTTCACCCCAGAGTAACTCCCCATCCTGACTGTCACGATGGGCGAACCTCCACAGGAGAGTCATTCCTAGTGGCTAAGGTGTCCTCATTTAAGACATGCTTCTGAGAGCTCACACACCTCCGCAGGTCACACGCTCACACTTGAGTATCATCAGCTTGTCACCTGGCATTTCCATTTTTTTTCCCAATGAGAAAGGGTCCTGAGGGGATGGGAGTTTTTGAACATGGAAAAGAGAAGGATGGTTTGAGGGAGTGGGATCCCTGATGCTCCGAAGAAGGCCAGGGTTTGCTGCCACGTTGGGCTGTGTGAAGGTTCGGGGGCCTGAGGGAGGAGGACAGTCAGGGAGCAGACAGACGGACAGTAGACTTTTCAGGGCTGGGCAAGGTCTGAAGTTATTACCTCAGGTTTCATACGGTTGAGACTGAGATGTCTATATTTTATCAAAATCATTTTTATTCTTTTTAATGTGAATTTAGTTAAAATTAAATCCAGTACTGAAAATGTACTTTATAGATGCCTTCTGAAAGTCTAAAAGCAATTTCTTCCTGTGCTTGCAAATGTCCTGTCTGCCTGGCCCTGAGAGGCAGCTCCCGGAAACTCCGCCTGTGGTCTGGTTGCTGGGTCTCTGGGGACCTTCCCAGTGGTAGTTCCCAGGGCGTGTTCAAGGGCCCCAGAGGTGGAGGGCAGGGCATTAAACAGGAGCCCTGCATCCTGGTTAGGAGTCCCAGGATGGGACTCCTAACCATCCCTGGGTAACCCTCTATGGTAACAGACATATTAGGACTATTTGGAAGTAACTCTGCTGCAAAAAATGCCTAAAACCCACGTAGTCAGATGTGGCCAAGATGCTGGACCTTGGTGTTCTGGCCTCCAGCAACAGTGATGACCACTGGGGTGGGGTGCTGGCAGAGCCACCTGTGCCCGCCAGCCCTTCCGGACTCACTCCGGTCTTCCCTAACCTCAGTTGCTCTCCCCAATTGCCCTTGGTGGCCCCAGGGGACTCTTGGCAGCTCTGACACCTAGGGTTTGTCTGTGTAGTATGGCAGGCTGGGGGGCAGAGGGCAAGGATGGGCATAGCTTCCTGCCTACCAGCTGCTGCCTGGACAAGAATGTCCCCCTAGGAAGCCCTTGTCCTCTTTCTGTCCTTCTTCCTGCAGGGTGAAGGAGGTGTACAGGCTGGAGGAAATGGAGAAGATTTTTGTCAGGTGAGTGACTCAACCAGGGCAGCTCAGGGTTTGAGAGGAGTTAAGATGGGGGCCATCACAGTGTCCAGGATTCGCTGTTTTTTTCTGTAGAGGTTTGTTGGGGTGGGCAGTAAGCTGCCTTTACCCCCAACCTCCCTTGCCTCATGCAGCGAGGTTCCACTGCAGCCAAGGGCCCCCCGGCCGAGAGCTGATTCAGCACCCTGTCAGAGGGGAGCAGGCTGGTGTGCGTCAGGCAGAAATACGGGCTCATTGATGCTGTAATAGTTACGATTGTCCCTGCGAGGGGCCGAGCAGCAAGCTGCTTGAAACACTATAAATCCCAGCTCCTGGTGCTGACAGAGAGATTGAGCCTGGAGGGTTAGGGGGCATAACTGCCTCTTCGGATTCTTAGCTGTGTGTGGGAAGGTGGCTGGGATCTGTGGGTCCCTTCTAGGCCTGCACTGCTGCGGCCTCTATTCTCAGCGCTTTCATGTTAACTCTTTGTTGGCCATGGTGATGCCATGGGTGGTGGGCTGAAGACCCAGTGGCACCCAGAGGCACTCAGGTCTTACCCCTGCCCTTACTGGTGTCACCCTGAAACATGACAATAGCAGTGTATCACAGACGTCTGTTACTCCCCTGCCTCCATTACTGTGTTGGGAGTTCAGAGTGCCTAGCCTCAGCACAGCACTCACTCGCTTGCAGTGTGGTGTGGAGCATTTCGCTCATGTCTCTGCCTCAGTTTCTTATGTCGAACTGCTAGTACTTTGGTTGCTGTGATTTTGATAACAGCAAGAAGCTAATGTTAGGACTTTCTCTCTGTCATGCACACACTCACACTCCTATTGCACACCTACTTGGGGAAATCAGGTTAGAGATGAAGATCATCAAGGGCTCCAGTGGCACACCGAAGCTCAGCTACACAGGGCGGGACGACCGGCACTTTGTGCCCACTGGCCTCTACATCGTCAGGACCGTGAATGGTGGGTGATAAGTGACTGTTCTCTGTCATTGCCCCTGAGTCAGAGTGATTGGCTCAGACCCTGCCTAAGCCAGAGTTAAGGGTTCTCTACGAATACGGGTAGCAGCCAGGCTGGCATTTCTTTGAGATGCTCAGGGGTCAGGGTGGGGGCGCAGTTGTGTACCCTGAGCCTGTTCTGTTCTTCGTCAATTAGGTTGGGGGTGGGGGGAGGAGCCCCACTCATCTATGCACGCGGTGTCCTCATGGCAGGAAGAGGATTTCTCAGCAAGCAGCGGCAGATTCAGAAAGTCAGTCTCGGACAGTTGCACTCCCTGTAGAATCCCCTTCAGAGCCCCCTTCTGGTTAACAGAGTTGTGCTCCCTCTGCCAGGGTCCGAGTTGTTGCCCTGACGCAGGTTGGCAGGATCAGGTGGGGTTGTTAATAAATGTAGTCATTCTTCTGGAGCCCCTTTGGGCTGGTAGTGAAATCTGCGTCCTCACAGGCCGGTCTCTGCCTGTGCTTTGGGGGAGGGGAGTGGAAGAACGGGAGTGGAGGAAGGCATGCTCTTGCTTTGGCCTGACCTACCCTGTCATGGGTTTGTGTCTTCTCTGGGCTGCTTCTCCTCTTCCTGCTGTCAGAGCCATGGACTATGAGAATCAGCAAAAGCTTTAAGAGGAAGTTCTTCTACAACAAGAAAACTGGAACCTCTACCTATGAGCTCCCTCCAGACTCCATTGCCCCATTTCAGTAAGTAGCCCTCCTCCAAGCCTGTCCGTGCAGGGGCACCCCTGAGCAAGGCCAGGGTCCTCCCCACAAGGGTGCAGAGGGCCCCCTCCAGGGTGTGGGCTGGATCTGGGTAGTAAGCAAGCTCAGTTAAGAGGAGTGACACCAGGACCTGCTATGACGGTTGGGAGTCCTGGGTAGGAAGGGCCCCACTTAGGCAGGGCGTCGGACCCATGGAGCAGCTTACATAAGGCTGGCCCAGTGGTGAGAACGGGCTGAATACCGCAGCACTGCCTCTCAAAAACCCAGCGTCCCAGTGCTCTTCTCAGGGCACCGAGTCCATTTGCCAGATTGTTGATCACAGGTTTCAACAGCTACCAGTAGCCCTAATGTGCCCAAAATGAGCCATTGACACTAGTTCCTGTCAGCACACGAATACTATTTATTAGACCAGCACAGATAGGTGAACCAGGAGTATCAGTAATTGTGAAAACCCAGCGGGGTGCGATAAGCAAGATCAGCAAGCAGGAGCTGTTTGCTGGGAAAAGCTGGTTTGAGGTGAGGAGGAGCTGGAGCTTTCTGGGGTTTTGGCTGCCAGAGGAAAAATCTCCCCAACCCCCCAACTCCTGCCCCTTCCTGGCCACACAGCAGGAGGTGAGGGGGCGGGGTGAGCCAGCAAAGCTTTGCTGGCATTACAGCCTGAGCTCCACCTCCTGTTTGGCCCCCACCCTGGCTCTGTGTAAAAATTCTCTCATGAAACCAGTCCCTGGTGCCAAAAAGGTTGGGGACCGTTGCCCTAAGCCTCGGTTGCCAGGGTGGGGTGGTGATCTCTTTGTCCTGAGTGCAGCCCTCTGACCTTTCTCCTTCCCAGCATCTGCTACTATGGCCGGCTCTTTTGGGAGTGGGGAGATGGCATCCGTGTACATGACTCCCAGAAGCCCCAGGACCCAGACAAGCTGTCCAAGGAAGACGTCCTCTCCTTCATCCAGATGCACAGCGCCTGAGGACCCAGGGACGCCCACTCCTGCAGCATGCCCTGTTGTCCGGAGTCTGCGTGCTCTGCCTGGGGCACACAGTGCCGGTTCCTTCATCCTCGGAAAGGGAGGGAACACAGTCACTGCAGCCTGGCCACGAGGAGTGGGTGGTCTCCTCTCCATCTCCCCTGAAGAGTTCATTTGGGGGCCTTCTGAGGACACTCAGAGGTTCCTTCTTGGACCCGTTTTAGACTTCCCTCCCCAGAGACCCGCCTGGGAACTGTCTCCCCTGCCAGGACTCGGCCTGAGAGATGCTGCTCCTGCGGCGGGTTTGCGGTCAGGGCCCAGGGCACGTGGGGCTGGTGAGGGCCACGTTGGAGAGCCCAGGGCCGTAGCTCTGTTTTCTCCTGTATCCTGTAGACTCACTTTTCTGAGTTCCATGCACTGCCCTGAGGGCAGCCATTGCCCAGCTTTGCCCAACTTTTTACTGGGCCACCACTGAGTGGGTGAAGGCCCACTGTCGTGAGCTGGCCGGGAGCAGCTGCTGTACAAATCAAGGTTTTGTTTCTTTGAACTTGCTCTGTTTTGATGCCAAGTTGGAGATTTTCTTGTCTCATCCTACACCGTCTTGGTCTTTCCTGGAATTCTTCGCAGCCTAGACCTCTGACAGTCCCGCAGGCCGGGAAGGGAGGTGTGAGGGCCCTAGGTCCCTGATACCACATCAGGATGCAGGTAGCACCGCCTTTGGTTGTGTGTGTGACTGCTTCCTTGGGTGATAGAGGCTTCCTGGGCCCCATCCCCTTTGGACCTGAACCGTGGGCAGCTGTGGAAGGGGAGGGAGCATCCTTAAAGCCTTGCTTTTCTCTGTGGCCCCACTGGAACAGATGGTACCTTTTGGTGGTGGAGGGGGAGTGTTTGCACCCCACCCTCTGGCAGTTGTGACAACCTCATTTGCCACAGCCACCTTGCTACCCTTCCCCCTCTTCATTCCCCAGCAGGGGGTACAGTCACTCTGTCATTTTATGGTCACTATTTCCTCTGTGGTGGTGGAGGGGGAAGAGGGAAAGCTGGGCAGTAGCTTTGGGTGGGGAGGATGCCTGTCAGATGTTTGTATAGGCTCCCTAGGGCCCCACCCCAGTGCTAGACTGGTTTCCATGGATAGGGTACTGAGGCTCCCTGTGAGGTTGTGATTGGCTCCACCTGGGTGGGGCGGGTCTCCAGCCAGCATCCAGTCATCATGTGTCCTGTCCCCGTACCGTCCCCCCCGTCCCCCCCCCCCCCCCCCCCGTTGGCAGCAGCACTGCTAAAATGCTGTCTTTCCACCCAGCTCTAGGTATATCAGTGTGTCTTGCAAAATCTTGGATCATTAAAGATAAACATATTTTTAATGCCTGTGTGGCCCTGTGCTGGGGCTGCTGCTGATTGTCCTTGGTACTTTGTGGTCTGGGACTGGCTTGGATAAAACAGCTTGGGCTGAAGGTGAAGGGGGAGAAAGCTGTGCTAGAAGAGAGGATTTGTTTAATCAGGGACTTGTCCAAACTCAGGGCTCCCAGAACTGCTGCCTGCTGCCAGAAAGGGGCCCAAAGAAGTCAGGAAATGATGCAGCTCCTGTTAGCTGAGACTGGAGGATGAATGGACCTACAGCCTAGCGGGGTAGGGAGGCACTTTCTCCCTTACATGAATCACGCAGCTCTGGTGGCACTGGGACAATCCTGGATCAGTCTGTGTGACTAAAATATCACAGGTGTCAGACCAATTAGTGCCACTAGACCAGAGGGAGGGAGAGATGGTTTCGCTGACCTGCAGCCAGCATCCCTCCTTTTTTCTGCACTGGGTGCTGTGCTTGGGGTGGGGGACGTGCAGGTGTTGGCAGCACCTCCCTCCCTGGTGCTGGTTTCCTCCTAGAGCCTGCCTGCATTTTGCTTGGCTCCTTCACGCTGGCCTCAAGGGTCTTTGCCCAAGCTCCCGGGACAACTTTCCTTTTTTACTTACTTCATTGGGGAGATCTCAGCTTCCAAGCCTTTCACCTTTTTGGTTGCCCTGCACCGCTCTGCCTTGCTCTAGCCTCCCACTCCAGACTCCTGGCCCTGTGCTGGGAGTAGGGTTGGGAATGTGCCCAGGGGCTGTATGAGATGTCCGTGTTTGCGGCTCCTGCCTCCCCCTCCAGTCGGCCCCGCCTCTACTGCTGCTTCCTGCAAACCCTGCCTGATTTACTGGCCACTGTCACCATAAGTCAGTCTGGCCATTACCGTGGCTCTTGTTGCCCACTCACTCCACGAGACCTCACCGGCTTGCCTACCTCTTGAAGACGGATTAACTCCTTGCCTCTGTGGGACTGCCATGAGACCACTTCAAGTCCCCAAGTTGCCTTTCGCAGCATAAGGCTACATTTTTTCTGCCACAACTACAGGCAGTGGCACTGATTAGAGAGCAAGGCAATGTGTTTTTGGGGGAAGGGGTGTGGACACGGTGCATTTCCCAAGCCCTGGAAGTGGCTCCCAGTGTAGTTCTGGCTTGGAGAGCACTTCCTGCTGTCTCCTTAACCTCTACTTAAGCCAGGGGCTCACCTTTGCAGCCTCCCTTCTTTCTGAGTTCTAAGTCCAGAACTTTCCCTGAACATCTCTTCCTTGATTCCTGAGTGTGCACCGTGCACCCTGCCCCCCACTGCCTGCCCCTAGCTGCAGTGGGACCATGACACTGACTCAGCAGACAGGTGCAGCCCGGGTGTTCTTTATTGCCTCTCCCGTGGGCTCAGGGAGGAGCCGGCACGCAGTCCTGGAGACCCAGGGCCCTGGCAGGGCAGGGTGGCAGGAGGGGCTGAACCAACAGGAAGCCCTGCTCTGGTGTCCGGGTGGAGCAGGTATGTCCCTGTACGTTGGTCCTCTTGAGGCCTGAAGGGCCTGCTTGGTTGTGACCAGGTTGCAGACTGGAGAAATCTCAGGCTCACATGGTCCAGCAGGCATAGATGAGGCTCAGGAGGATGAAGATGGCCACAGATAGCAGCATGTTCTTCCGGTTCTCCTGCCGAAGCAACTTCAGCTCCTTTTCTGGGAGGATACAGGGTGTTGAACAGGTAGTTTGGGTCCATCTGCTGCTGTCATCTGCCTCTGCCTCTCCCACAGATGGGCGCACACACTGCTAAGGGCAGAGGTGTTCCCTACCAGCTGCTTCCTTATCTGTAAAAATGACTCCCCTTTTCCCACAAAAGTCCCAGCACTCAATGCTGCTCAACCATCTCTCTTCAAATGCAGCTGAAGCTGAGAATGGGATTTGTGATGGGTCACCAAAAAGGCCACATGTGAAAGCCAAGCTACGTGGTGGCATGGCATCACCAGGTGAGTCCTCGGCCTGTTGCTGAGTGGCTCTGTGGTGCTCATCCCTTCAGGGTGCCTCAACTAGAAACTCTGAGGGCACCTGGGACCTGCGGGCTGACGCTGGGGTAGGTAACGGGGTAACCGCACCACCATGCTCCCAGTCTGCTGTGTGCCTAGCCAACGAATGGGGGGAGCTAAGAGGAGGCAGTTTGTGCTGTGAGTAGTCAGGCTCTGCTCTAGAGGAAGCCAGTGCAACTCGACAGCCATGCAGTCGTCATTCATCTCCTCGTGCGACACGCAGGTGTGTGACAACTGCCAGGCTGGAGGGGTAACTGATGTCCGATCTCTACCCGTGTGAGGGAGCAGGGAGATACCTGCAGAGCAGACAGAGCCCACGGCCCAGGTAGGGCTGTGGGTGTGCACATGGGCTGTGCTTAGTGTTTTTTCAAAATGGCCCCCCTGGGAGGTTTCTTGCCATGTGGACTGTTCTGGGCTGGTTCTTGGCCACATCTGGCCCCTGAGAATAGGACAAACAAATCAAGGAGCCTCTGTGGACCATCTTTCCCCCAGGCCAGCAGGGGCGGAATGGCGGAAGGGGTGGTAGTGGGCCTAGCCACAGCACTCGGTGCCAAGCCTGGGGAGAAAGGGGGTCTTGGCTCTACCTGGCTCTGCCCCCAGCACCCAGAAGGTGGCAGCATTGCTCCACCCCAGCAGCCCTTCGCAGCAGCTAAGGGGCAGGTTCACCCTCCTTCACCAAGGCCCTCACTCCCATCACGAGGTTTTCCTCAGGGTGGAGTGGAGGTCTGGGAGGAGTGGGCAGAGAAAGCAGACCTCCCAAGTCTGAGTGGCTGTGAGACCCTTTTCTGGACCTGGCTACCATCGCACCCCTTCATTCCAGGAAGACGGACCCGCAGGCCACTCTGTCTCCCTAGGAACAAAGGAACAAACTGCTCTTCCAGGCTGCTGGGCCTGTGGTGGGTTCCTGCAGCCTCCTGGACCCCTGCTGCCTTGTGGGCTGGCTCTCTGGGCTGCCTGCCCCTCCGGACCCTGGGACTGGAGCCTGGGACTGGAGCGTGGGGCTGCTAACAGAAGGGAACTTTCTTACCATAGTTGGAGGCTTTGTTCATCAGGCTGTTTTTCTCCTTCTCCAGAGACTTCCTGTGAGGGGGAAGGAGTTTTATGGCTCCAGCCCTCTTCCTTCTCACCAGAGGGGCAGCCGGCATACCAGGCAGGTTGGACAAGGGCCCAGGTCTCTGGTGGCAGTGGAAGGGGGGACTAAAAGCCTGGGGCCTAGGTTAGACAGGGAGGGCTGAAGGAGGGCGGGCAGAGGGCGTGGCCAGGAACATTACCTGGTGTCTGGGCTCAGCTCTGCCCCACAGAGCCTGGAGTTCACAGCCTCCAGGTCCCTCTGACATTGTGACAGCTTCTCCTCCAGCCCATCAATCTGAAACATACAGCACACTAGCAGCTAGAAATGGGCAGCAGAGCCTTTCAACTTTCAAAATAGTCAGGACTTTATGATGGGGAGGAGGAAGCCTCTAGGAGTCTTCCAGCACAGCTCCCCACTCCACCCCACCCCCAACATCCCTAACATTTCTGGTTTGCTGTCCTCTACCTCCACGTGGTACAGCCCGAGCCCCACTGGAAATAGGTGGGGGTGTTGCTCAGGGTCTCACAGCTGTGCTGACCCCGTGGGCCAAGTCGTGGGCTGGGGACAGATAGGGAGAGCCCCTTAGTCACTGTCTCCCCGGCATAGGCCCCAGTAGGGCCCCACAGCAGGACTAACCAGAGCTTTGAACACGGCAGACACCTGCCACACAGGTGTGTCCTGGAGTGAAGTGAGATGCTTCGGGAAGGCTCTGCCCTTCCAATGTACCCAACACAGGAGGGATGGGCAATCGCACATCCAGGGGCAAAAACGCAGGTGTTTATCCCACTGATCGAACTTCATCTCTGAGGAATCTCAGTTGTAAGACAATACGTCTTTCCATGAGAGTCACCAGAAATTGCTGTGGAAAAACATGCAAAACACTTCCATTTCTTTCTGACCAGATTCTTGAGCAAAAACATAGCCTATCATCAAGGTGGCTGTAACTTGTGAGCAAAATAATGTCTGAAAGGGTGGTTGCCAAAGGTATCTGTTTTCCTATTTGTTTTGATTATAATTTCAGTGATGTGCACTTGATAAAATAATGAGTTGTGGGAAAATGTACATAAAACACTGGACTGGATCATCCAAGCCTGGGTCCTGGTATCATGCATTTGACCTTGAAAGTTCATTTGTGTCCATCTGTCCCCAGGCATCTAACTGACCACCATGCTGGGCTGGGGCCCGCTTTTCTCAGACCACCGCCCTGCTGGCAGGAGCCTTGATCTCCGTGGGCGGGAGGCCCACAGGGCCCCGAAATGCTCAGTTTTCCATCTGACTTAACTCATTCTCACCACGTCCCCGGGAGGGATAGCAAATATGACTTCTATTTGATAAACGGAAGAAAAGGTCCCCCAAACAGAATCACTTCTCTGAGGAGTCAAAGTGGAGCACCCCTCTCTCCATATCGCTCTCAGCCAGTTCCCTGCTCCAGTCCCTTCCAGAGTGACCCCTGAAGAGACAGTAATCAATGCTCACAAGCACACATCCTGGAGTCCCAGGCAGGTGTTCTGGGGCCAGTGTCAGTGTCTGGGCCATCTGCCCCTCTCCCTGGTCAGCACCCACCCCGGGGGGGCCACTTTCCCTCATCCCAGTGCCCGGCACAGACGGTGCACCATGTATCCTCTTCCCTGCAGCCCAGCACGCTGCCAGCTCTACCTCCAGAAGCAGGGCCCTGTGGGAGGGAATAACTGCACGGGGTTGAGTTAATTGCCTGGTTATTTGTCATTTCTGTGCAAATGGGCACCAAAGGAAACAGCCCCAGCTAGGAGATGGGGCCTGTGCCTGAGGTCAAAGGCCATCCTAGAATAGGAGCCGTAGGGAAATGAGCTCTGGGGAGCCAGATTCTGAGAACATCTGCAGCCTGCTGCCACGGCTGGTGGAACCAGGGAGCCAGAGCTGAGAGCAGCAGGTGCTTCAGGCTGCCATGCGGCCCACCCTTCACAGCAGCACCCCAACACAGAGCCCAGCCCCTCAGAACCCCAAGACTGTTTCCATTTCATGATGTAGAAACTCCAATCAGGGCACCAAATTCCATGCTGCATCCCAAGCAAAGCTTAATTCTTGAAGCTGCTCTATCTCCTCTATGAGACCTCTCTGCCAGAGGGGTACTGCCTCTTGCCCACAGCAAATCAGTCAGTCCTTGTCTCATGAGCCTGATGTCATTATGTCATTCCAGCTTGTGTGTCCACACTCATCTTCCCAAACTCTGGGAGCCCTGAGGGCAGATGGAGTAAACTTGCAACCTGGGGTTCAACTCTAGCCCAGATCGGGCCACTCCAGTTCGGAATGTGCCTTCCTGGCCCCTAGGGATGCCTGACCTTGTAGCTCCCGTCTGAGAAAGGATGTTGGCCATTTGTCTCCTCTTTGTAGCAAGGCCTGGCCCCCTGCAGTCTTTGTAGCCCTGGGGTAGGTCGGGCACGGCTGGGGTGGAGGAGATGGAGACGGGTTTAGGCCTCGTGTGACAGTGGCCTCTGAAACCCTCCACTTGTACCTACAGAAGCTGGGAGGAGGAAGGGAAGCAACTATACGAGCCCACAGACATGGACTTTGTGGGTCGCCCAGTGCATGTATTAGTCCTAGGTTAGGTTTCTCCCTGCCGCCCTTGGGCCAGGCCCTGGTTTGCACGTCATTCTGGGAAGGAAAAAGTTTGGGGATTTCCATCCCTAAACACCTCTAGAAGGCTAGACCGGACAAGTACTAACTCACCCGGAGCAAGACCAGGAATTCATGCTAAGCAAAATCTTTAAATCGAGGTTGGCAGACCCCAAGTAGCTGAGCCAACCAGCGGCGGTGCTCCGGGCAGGGCCTGTGGAGCTGGCAGCCAGAGGCCTCTCTCTGAACAAGCCCAATTTATCTGCAGTTCCACTGAATATCCCCACTCTCATTTACCACTTGTTAATGAGGCTTCAATAGACATACACAAACCAAGGTTTTAGGGACTCAAGTTCTAGAATTCCTATGTGAACATTTATGTCCTGCTGACAGCTCTGAGACCCTTCTAAACACCTTCTAAGACTCTTCTAAGTTCCCCTAATAACCCAGCTGCTTGAAGTGGGCTGAGTGAGGGGAGCTGAGACTGTCAGGCGGCTGGCTGGCCCTTCAGAGGGCCAGAAACCTGTCCTCAGAAGGAGACCATGCCAGCAAACACCCTGAAGCATATGCTGAAGCAGAAGCGGACTCCCGAGCAGCTATAATGGTGCAAAGATTCTAGGTGACCTCCTGGCTGCAGGAAAGGCAGGGTGGAGGGTCAGGATTCATCTTTTATTTGTGACTGGGGTCAGGAGTGTTCAGGAGAGCAGAGCTGACATGATAGGCCCAGAAATGAGGGAGAAGACCCTGAAAGTGGGCCTTAAAGGGAGCCTCTAGTTGGGTTTTCAGTCAACTCTCAACGACATGCACATGGATTATTTACTTTGCTGACTCCCCAGTGGAAACCTGGAGTCCTTAGTTTACTCTCTGCCAGCAGGCTGATGGCAACAGAGAACACAATAGTCTGGACCAGGAGAGAAGACAAGGGGATTTGGACCAGAATAAGGACAAATGTCAAGAAAATTCTAGAAACCTAAAGGTCAGAGCTGGGGAAATAGTTGGAAACCTAAGTGCCTAGACGCCTGGAATTGTGGCTCCCGAAGAGCATGGTCGCACAGGGAGGGGTGGCAACCACATCCTCAGCTTGCCGCTCACTCGCCATGCCCCTTAATCCTGTGTCTCGGTTTATTCGTGTGTAAAGCAAAGATAATGTTTGGTATTTCAAAGACCTGTGAGGAGGATGTGGCCAATATACATAACGTGCTCGAAGAGTACCTAGCACACAGCGTAGTTCAGTGAGTGAGTGTGGCCATTATCATCAGAGAATAGCTTTCACTGGACCTTTGGGGAGTAAGAAGAAAACAGTTAATTTGTGGCAAGAGTAAGAGAGGGAACTAGAAGTAGGAGTGTGTGGTGGACAGAAATTCCCCTGGTCACTTGTAGCCATCCTCTGAGTCACGGGATGGTTTCGGCAGGGGTGTGGCCTGCAGGGTAGACCGTCAGAGCAGCATCCAGCTGGCTCAGGACATGCATGTCAGGAGCCTTGTGAATGGCTGTGGATGAAGCTGGCCTGGGGCTCAGGAGACAGCACCGAGTTCCTGAGGCTGGGCCTGGTGCAACCCGAGGATGCAAGCCTAGAGCAGTGTCGAAGGGCAGAACAGACTCAGGTGTGATCTGGGCACTCTGGGGAGACATGGAACGGCAGGTGGAGCCCAAGTTCAGCCACACCGTGGCTCTACGGGACCTGGCACGCAGCTAAGCTGGGAGCAGGAATGCGAAGCCCGAGGGTTAAAGTAGAAAGAGGCCCTGGCAGAGAGATCCAGACAACACTGGTGGGGAGAGTTACACTCTGGAGGCCACGGAGGGTCCCAGGACCCCTGCTCAACCAGCTGGAGAGCGGGTCAATTAGCAGGAAGAGCATGCCAGGCCCAAGACCGGCTCCAGTTTTGAGATTTGCCTGGAGCTGTGGTAGCAACGCTAGCTGTGACTGTCATAGTCCAAGTGGTTACAGCCAAGGTGAGGACTGAGATAGGGAACTCATTCAGACAGTACAGGGGCAGAGAGTAGATGTACAGTAGCATTAAGAAGTGTCCATACAATGTGTTTATACTCAGAAGACCAAGAGCCCGTTTTTATACAGGGAAAATGAACACTTAAGGCACTGAGATGACAGCAGGTGCGGCATGGCTGCAAAGGAACCCAAGGGGTCAAGAAGGCAGTGATGTGTGGTGTGAGCTCCCTACAAGTTAGCACCCTGTGCCTTCTTCCACCTCAGAGCTGAGGACCTGGTAGGTGTCATGTAACTTGTGTGTAAGCAGTTCAAAGAACCAAGAAGTAGGTGGTGAGTGTGCAGGGGGTCCTGGTGGGTCAGTCTGATTTGACCCCAAGCCCAGCAGTGGCTAAAGCCTGGCCTGAGCCTAGACGGGGAAGACACAGAGCCACGACAGGAAGAGAAAGGCGGGGGAAAGAGTTCCATGAGGTAGGGAGTGGGAAGGAGCTTCCCTCAAGTGGGAGGGAGCCAAAGGTCCCAGAGAGGCCTGGGGCAGGAGCCAGGACGTAACAGGTACTGTAACAGGAAAGGCTCACGAGTGGTACTGCCGCCGAACACTGCCTCTCTTATCCAAGCACAGACTGGGGGATCGGTGCCTGGAGGGCAGCTTTGGGAGTGAGCCGAGGAGCCGGTGCAGTGAGAAGTATAAGACCAAGGATTCTCCACAGAGGCAGGGATGTTCCCTGCAGAAGAATGTCAAGGTCCGAAATCAGCCTGGCAGTCAAGGTCAGCATGGGTTGCAACCCCAGCCAAGCGGGGCTGTGGCTTCTGCTGGCAGGTACTAAGGGAAGAAAGGACTTCTTCATTTTCAGTCATCAAGGGCAGAGCTTCTCCTGGTGGTCTTCCAGGCCTCCCCCGTCAGAGGCAGCTCTGAGTGCTGTGTGTTCCATGGCGCTCTGCTGGCAGCTCAGTCACCCCGAGCCAGCTAAGCAAAATCCCCTCTGCCACCTGACTTGGGGAATAACACCTTGGAGCTTTAGGGAACTCTCCCTGAGGTCCTATATGCCATAAAACCACTGTGTTAAGAGAAACTGTAAAATTCATCTCGAATCCCCGTGAGGCATCTTTTCAGGAGTATGGAGCCTCCTGGCAAAGTCCCCAGTGAGACCTCTTTGGGGGCAAGAAACATGAGCACTAGCTTACATGCAGACTGACCAGCACACCGGTCAGGTCAAGCCGGGCTCCCTGGGTCTGGCTGCTGCCAGGGCCTCACCTGCAGCTTTTGTTCTGCTGACAACAAGCCACAGGCGGTCGGTCCCCTATCAAAGGTTCCCCTACTG